TTCCCCTCACCTCCCTCGCTCCCTCCGCCTCCTCTTCTTCCTCTCTCTCTCTCTTTCTTCTTTCCTTCTCTTTCTTTCTTCTTTTCTTCTTCTTTCCTCTTCTTTCTTATGTCCTTTTTTCTTTCTTTCCTTTCTCTCTTCTCTCTTTCTCTCTTTCTCTCTTTTCTTCTCTTTCTTCTTTCTTTTTTTTCCATCCTTTCCTCCTTTTCTTTCTTTTTCTCTTCTTTCTTTTCTCTAACTCCTTCCTTCCCTTCTTGACCAGGTTTTAACTCCTGACCTCGTGATCCACCTGCCTCAACCTCCCAAAGTGTTGGGATTACCGGCGTGAGCCACCGCTCCCGGTCTGACAGTTATTTCTTACATGAAAATACCCAGATGTTGAACTAAAACCTGATTTAAGACGAAATATATAATACCAAATGGCATTATAGATTTTGCCCAATTTTCTCAACCCTTTTCTCCTTCACCATCCTACAGAGAGCTAGAGATGTTGAATAGATAAAGCAAGATGGGGACCTGATTTATTGACTTGTCTGCAAGAGTCTTGTCACTTAAGCAGAAGGAAATTTGTGGAAACAAAAAAGGGAAAGAGGATAGAACCAGTTTGTCTATTAAGATTACCCAGTATCTCATTTAATTTCCTGCCACTTTCTTTCCTTAAGGTGGGAGTTTTCTTTTTAATCTTCCTCCCTACATTTGAGAATTTTTGAGTGGGGAATAAATGTAGCATACTATTCTGACTGGTTGAGGGAAGGAAGGATAGTTTAGTATTTGTTAATTCATTCAAAATATTGAGCCTCTGTAAGTACATTGCAGTCCTGAACGTAATGACAGGACTCCCAACCTTTTGGAACTTGGGATGGGAGCAGAATGCTAAGAAGGGTGTTGAAGGAAATGCTACAATGAAAAAGGTAAATGGGATCTGAAAGAGGAATGTAATTTTAAGATTGCGCAGAAAGCTCTACAGAAGTAGTGGAGATTATAAAGCTTTAGTTTTTTTATTGTATTAATTACAATAATAAAATATGATGCTTTATTACGGTTTTTTATATGCAAAGAAATTTAGTAGTTACACAACCCTAGAGATACTCATCCACTGAAGAAGCAAAAGCTTTTCTTCGTTTATTTCTTTAAGTTGACCTGCCAAATGTTATTTTGATCCCTATGGTTGTGACTTGTAAATGTGTGTTTCTTAAATTTTGTAACTATTGGGCGTAGAAGGACGAGATAACTTTTATCTGGTAATAAATTCCCTTCTAACAAAATATGAATGACTGTAATGATACCATTTAATCAGATGTCTAGTACTCGTAGTGTGATTGTGAAAGTTCAAACACCTCATATTGAAATTGATATGTAATAAGTAATAAAGCTACAATGAGACATAATTTAATGGTCTTTGCATCCTAGTGACTTGGATTCAAGTCTTGATTTCACCATTTACAGTTTGTGGGACTTTGAGCAAGTTATTTAATGTCTAATTCTTAGTTTCCTTAACATGGAATGAAAATACTTAACAATTGCTAGGAAGATCGGGTATGCTTAGAAAAGGGGAACTATATAACTAGACCCTGGCTAAAATGAAAAATTCATTCATTGAAATTGTATTGAACTCCTTTATGGCTTTACACTACAGATAAATTCATTATTATTGATTTTTTGTTTTGTTTTAAACCGCCATGAAAGATTTCACAACATTTGAAATAGAAAACTAATGAGTTAAATTCTATTCGTGTGAGTATTTTGACTGAAACTACAGAATCTTTCAGGCAAGGTACAAGAAATTCATTTTTTTTTAAGAAATGGAATCTAGTTCATCAGACTACTGTAATAAAGACAATGAAGAGGAAAGTTTGCTTGCAAATGTTGCTTCCTTAAGACATGAACTGAAGATAACAGAATGGAGTTTGCAGAGTTTAGGGGAAGAGTTATCCAGGTAAGTAGGTAAAATCACATACAGAATTCACTGTGCCTTAAATATATCAATATAAAATGTGTGAATTTCATTATTATGTATTGTTTCTAAAGTGTCTCTGGAATAAGAAATAATTTTCTTATACTTTTTAATATAACTTTCAGTTTAGGGAAAAATAGGAATATTAGAGAAGCCTCTTTGCATATTAAAAACACTTTCAGTGTATTAGAACTCAGTATAAAATATATTTTTGGGCTTTATTAATTTTTTAATGCTTTTTTGAATCTTAAGTAATCAGCATAGAGGCTCTAGAAATACAGTTTGCTAGTTTAAAAGTAATTATGATTTATTTAAAATTTAGTGGAACATTGCCTTATGTTCATAACTGTGAATCTACTTAGCAGCATTTCAGGTTTTCTATTTTCTTATTTAATGTATAGCAATTTATAGTGAATAAACTATCCAAGAACTGAAATATGTTTTTTCTTTTTTCTCTAGTGTTAGTCCAAGTGAAAATTCTGATTATGCCCCTAATCCTTCAAGGTCTGAAAAGCTAATTTTGGATGTTCAGCCTAGCCACCCTGGACTTCTGAATTATTCACCTTATGAAAACGTTTGTAAAATATCTGGTAGCAGCACTGATTTTCAGAAAAAGGCAAGAGATAAGGTTATTATTTTTACACCTATCTAGTTAACAGAAGTGTTGGTTTTAGGCCTGCCTACTTAAAAAAATTTTTTTTTCAGTTTTTCTTTAAATACCTTATTCATGGTTTCTGTAATCTTTTACTCTGGTACTCAAGAATTTAAATATAATTGTTCTTTTTATGTTCTAACAAGAAAGTAGTTATCTTGGTGTATTACTCTACTTTTAAACTTATATATTTATTACCTTTTTGCAGTTAAATGTCTTCTTAAGTAAATTATAATCCCCTTGATTTTAACACTACATCTTATACATAATAGGTAATCAATTATTTATTAAGTGGTTAAGGTATACCCACCATTTAGCCTGGATCAAGTACTGTGAGTAGTATGGCACTATTCTTTCATTATCTTTCTATTTTGTCCATGATGTTAGAGATCTTTGCTTGGTCTGAAACTGTCTTCCTTTTTCTTATTCTATCATATATTTATCTCCCTGCATTTATCCCTCTTCCTCACTCAACCCTTTTATCTCCTTTTACATTCTCTTCCTATTCTTTGTTCCCTGCACTCCCTACTTGTATATACACAGATATGGTTGCACATAATCTTTTTGGATACATATTTGCTGTTTCCACTTCGGAAAGCCAACCATTAAGAGCTTTCTTTTTTGTAAGGAAGCTACTTAATGAAGCTGTCTGAACCTACTTTTTAGAAACAAATTCAAATTCCATGTTTACATGGTATGTAATTCCAAGAAATTTGATCTCTATCCTCATTCAAATTGCTGATCATTCTTACTTTATATGTGCCTTAATTGGGAAAACAATAATGGTAATGACTATCAAACACAAAAGGATAATCTAGTGTGTAAAGAGCTCCTAGAAACTGAGAACAAAAAGGTCAGTAACCCAATGGGCAAAAGACATGAAGGGAAAAAGAAATAAAAATGATATCCAAACTAATGAAAAGGTGTCCAATTTCCTCATAATAAGATAAATTCAAAATGAAACTATACCTAAGTACCTTACCTAGTTCTTACCTATAGAATTATTAAACATTCAGATGTTTGAGATGTTATTTTATAGGTGATATTGGGTACGGGTACATTGCCTAGTGGGAATGCACAGTGATATAACCCCAACTGAGATGCATTTGGCAATATTTACCAAAATTACAAATACATTTACCTTGACTTGGAACTCCCATTTCTGGAAAACGATACTATAGACACACCTGCAGGATATGAAATTAGGCATTGTTGATCATATCAAAAGATTAGAAATAGTTCAAGTATCTAGTAATAGGCGGTTAGTTGAATAATGGTTTATTCATGCAATGGAAACTATGCAGTTGAGAAAAGGAGTTTGTCAATGTATTTATTATGGAGAGATTGCCAGTGTATATTGTTCCAAGTTAAAAAAAAAAATGCACGGTGCAGAATGTTATATCTAATGTGCTAGTTTTTGCATAAGGAGAGGAGGGAAGTGGGTAATTTGTATTGCTTATGTATGTGTATGGAATCACTAGAAGACTAAACAAGAAACTTATAGAAGTGGTTACCCACCTATTAAAGATGGGAAGAGACTTCTGTGTATACTTTTTCTTTTATATAGTTTTGAATTTTGAATTGCATAAATAAATCACTCAAAATAAAGTTAATTAAAAGAAATGTTTTGAAAATCACAATCCTCATGAAAATTACATATTGTAAAATATGTATAAAAAGAATATAATAAAAATATGTATACAGATAAAATAATATTTTACCTATTATCCATTTTATTGTTGGTGGACATTTGGGTTCTTCCCATTTATTATCTCTTGTGGACAATGTAGCTATGAATAGTTTTATATCTGCACACGCAAAAGTACAAAAGTTTCTATCAGGTTTATATCTAGGGATGATATTGTTGGTTCTTAGCATACTCAACTTTGCTGGATAATACCAGCCAGTTTCCCAAAGTGTACCACTGTTTTCCAGGTTATACTTGTATATACTTTCACCAGCAGTGGAGGAGAGAGTATTGATTGTTCCACATATCCTTGTCAATACTCACTAAGTATTTTAACTCATTTTCTGAGCTGCTTAGTCATTTTATTAATAATTGCTCATAATTTTCCATTAATTACATGTAACCCTTAATTGAAATAATTGAAAATATATTTGTTCTTTTTCATTCTTTCAGATGTTTTCATCTTCTACCCCTGTGGATCAGGAGATTAAAAGCCTTCGAGAGAAACTAAATAAACTTAGGCAACAGAATGCTTGTTTGGTCACACAGAATCATTCCTTAATGACAAAATTTGAATCTATCCACTTTGAATTAACACAGTCAAGAGCAAAAGTATGTATCTTGAAATGATGAGTTTGCCCGCAGAAAATAGTTGTTATTTTAAGATTTATAATTGGAAAAAGAGTCCTTGTATTGCCACATTGCCTTAATGTGTTATGTGAAGTAATTTTCATTATAATACTATAGTGTCAACATGTTATAAAATCAATATTGTATGAATTATATCTGAAAATGATTGAAGGGAACTTTACAGTTTCGCATTTAGATAAGTCAGCTTCTTAAGGTGTTAAGATTACCAATTTGTGTGGTCTTATTTTTTATACAAAGGAAGTATAACTTACTTATCTTCCCTTTTAAAATAACACATTGTCATTGTTGAAAAATTTAAAAGTAGCAAAAAGAGGAAGAAAGATCACCCAGAGTTTCCACCTAGAAACCGCTTTACCAGTTTAATACATAGTTGAATCCAGACTGTTTTAAATAGTTTTGGTGTTTTCTGTTTTTTTACTGTATATATAGTCTATGCATTTTCTGATGCATTTACATAGCTTTTCCATTGATCATTTTTTATGGTAGCATTATATTTCATGTGATTATAGCGTAACTTAGTTAATTCCCGTATTTCAGTGGTTTCCTATTTTTTTACTAAATGGTTGGTATTACACAAAAAATTAGAAGAAACCAAAATGTCCAATAATGGAGACATAGTAAATTATGGTATACCCATAAGATAGATTGTAACAAAACCTTTTTTTAAAAAATGAGGTAAATATACTAGTACTAAGATGCAAAGTTGTTTGACTTATATGGAGCATGATAAAGTTTAAATGATATAATGTTTGTAGTCACTTAAAACAGTGTCTATGTGTAGTCAGCACTCAAAAACTGTTACCTAATATATTTAGTGGCAGAAAAACATTACAGAGCAGTACACACGTATAATAATCTTAGTTTTCCTCTTTATAAGAAGTGTATGTGTGTCTGTGTGTGTGTTTGTATGTAAATATATATACATGTGATATATTAAGGTAGAAACTATGCTTCACACTGTTGATAACTTCGAGAGAGATTGGAAGGTTGGAGTGAGGCTTTCACTATTTACTTCTATAAACATTGTATATATACATTATATGTAGTTTTAAATAGAACAGTTATGGGAAGACTTTATTTTTCTTTTCTGTTTTTTCAAACAAAACAAAATGCTATTAGGGATTATTTCAGCACAGGAAAAACAAAATGCAACAATGAGCATAATACTTCTTTAGTGTTTGAGATTATTGAACATAAAACTTCTTTAGTGTTTGAGATTATTTCTAGGGTAGATTTCCAGAGGCAGAATGACCATATTTTAGGGAAATAATGTTTTTCAAGCATTTACATTTGGTTCCTCATCTTTTCTTGTTCACTTTGAGGGGAAAATGCTGTTTTTCTTGATTTCGTACAAAATTTATCTTTTCGGTATATTTGTTTGCCATTTAGATTTCTTTGTGATTTGTCTGTTCGTTTTTTCTGCTTATTTTCAAATTTTTTCTTCAACTATAGATAATCTCTCTTTTTAAAGTCATGATTGCTAGTGATTTAAAGTAAGAAAAGAGACATAAAGATAATTTAATAATTACTGAACTAATAGCATTTTTAACCTTTATTTTTAGGATATAAACACACCAGTGGTTATGCGAGGAAGTAAGATACTAGTATTGTACTTCTCAGCTCAGCATTTTCTAAGTTGTTGAAATATTTTTTAGGGAAGCCACCTGTTTCAGGCCACGTATGAGCTTTTGATGCTTCATATATGCCCACTATTGAGACTCTTTTGCAGAAATCAATCAATATATTCATAACTTACCTCTGGCAATGGTTGTACTTACTCTTCTGGAGCCTGGCAGCCTGCTCTTTCTGAGCTTTTTGCCCTCTACACCTGCTATCCAACTGCCATCCTGGGACTTCTCTTTGGTGTTCTTCTAGGTTGAATCTACTGTTTCCTGAATTCTATTTTTTGTTATTTCCTAGTTTATTCTTTCTGTATTTGGAGCATATCTTCCAGTTACTTCCTTGCCTGTCTGAAAATGTCTTAATTTCTTCTTCACTCATGATTAAATTCCAGTTTGATAATTATGTAACGTTAGAATTTTTAGGACATTACTCCCTTCTATCCTCCAGTGCCACTTTGAAAAGTCTGTTGCCATTTTGAATTACTTCCCTTAGCATGTAATCTCTTTTTTCCCCATTTGTTTGTTTTTTACTTTATGGCAGATGGTAGTTTTTAGGACCTTCCCGTTCCGGTGTTTTAAAACTGTACAACAATGTATCTTTCAATAGGCCTTTATTACTCATACTGGGTATTTGAGAGCCCTTTTAGGCTGGAAACTTGTATCCTTTGGTTCTGGAAATTTTTCTGTTTCTTAATTTTTATTTTTAATTTTTGTGGGTACATAGTAGGCATATATATTTTTGGAGTACATTAGATTTTTTGATACAATTATGCAGCATAATAATCACATCATGGAGAATGGGATATCCATCCCCTCAGACATTTATCCTTTGTGTTATAAACAATCCAGTTATAGTCTTTTAGTTATTTTTAAATGTACAATTAAATTATTATTATTGACTATAGTCACCCTGTTGTTCTATAAAATAGTAGTTCTTGTTCATTCTTTCTATTTCTTGTACCATTAACCATCCCCACCTCTTCCCACCCTGACAACTGCCCTTCCTGGCCTCTGGTAACCATCCTTCTACTTTCTATGTCCATGAGTTCAATTGTTTTGATTTTTAGATCCCACAAATAAGTAAGAACATATGATATTTGTCTTTCTATGCCTGACTTATTTTACTTAACATAATGATCTTTAGTTCCATCCATGTTGTTGCAAATGACTGATTCTCATTCTTCTTTATGGATGAATAGTACTCCATTGTGTAAGTACTACATTTTCTTTATCCATTCATTTGTGATGAACACTTAGGTTGCTTCTAAGTCTTGGCTCTTGAACAGTGCTGCAACAAACATGGAAGTGCAGATACCTTTTCAATATACTGATTTCCTTTCTTTTGGGTATATGCCCAGCAGTGGGATTTCTGGATATGGTAGCTGTATTTTTAGTTTTTTGAGGAACCTCCAAACGGTTCTCCATAATGGTTGTACTAATTTCCGTTCCCACCAACAGCATATGAAGATTCCCTTTTCTCCACATTCGTGCAGACATTTGTTATTACCTGTCTTTTGAATATAAGCCTTGTTTTGTTTTGAAACAAGGTCTTGCTCTGTCACCCAGGCTAAAGTACAATGATGCAATCACAGCTCAGTGCCACCTTGACCTCCTGGGCTCAAGTGATCCTCCCACCGTAACCTCCCAGGTAACTGGGACTACAGGCATATGCCACCATGCCTGGCTAGTTTTTGTATTGTCTTTTTGTAGAGATGGAGTTTTGCCATGTTGCCCAGGCTGATTTTGAACTCCTGGACTCAAGCGATCTATCCATCTCCCAAAATGCTGGGATTACAGGATTGAGCCACAGTGCCTGGCCATGTGACTTTTATTTAGGAGGTATTCTCAACATTATTTTTTGCACTTCTATTGAATCTTTTATTTTGGCTGTCATACTTTTTTCAGTTTCTAAAGTTTTTTTTGTTCTGATTGTTTTGTATTTCATAACATACTAATGTATTCTCTCTTAGCACTCTGAAGATTTAATGATTTTTCTTCATGTTTGCTTTCCTTTCCTTTTTCCTTTGTTTAGGCCTCTGACTTTATGTTAGAAGCTTTTGGGCCGGGCGTGGTGGCTCATGCCTGGAATCTCAGCACTTTGGGAAGCCGAGGCGGGTGGATCACAAGGTTAAGAGATCGAGACCATCCTGGCCAACATGGTGAAACCCTGTCTCTACTAAAAAATACAAAAATTAGCTGGGCATGGTGGTGTGCACCTATACTCCCACCTACTCGGGAGGCTGAGGCAGGAGAATTGCTTGAACTCAGAGGTGGAGGTTGCAGTGAGCTGATATTGCGCCACTGTGCTCCAGCCTGGTGACAGAGTGAGACTCCGTCTCAAAAAAAAAAACAGAAGCTTTTTTTCAGATGTTAGTATTTTAGCTATTCATATTTAAGAGAAAGGCATTTAAATGCAGATTGGTGGTTTGTTGTCCAGTGGACTTTATTTCTGGGTGATGGTTAGGAAGGTGATTCTTTTGTAGGGAAACACCTGCCAGCTCCCAAACAGTATCAGTATGAGATGTTTTTCTTTTCCTTTTTTTTTTTTAACATAAACTCAAGATTTTATTGTCTTCGTAATAAAACAAAAGATAACACTTAAAACTGGGTCACTTGGCTCTTTCTGCTCTTATCTCCTCCCAGTTCAGAATGCTTGCATCTTTTAGTAGTCAGCTTTCTCTTAGATCTGCAGCTGGGCTCAATGCACTCAAGCCTTAGCACAATCTTCTTTGTAGTTTCAGCCTTTTTCTGGAAAATCTACTTAGTCTGCCCACCATAACCACTCTGCTTCCTGTCATATCACTGCTTTCCCTGGGCATACAGAGAATCCTTGCCCTTCTTGTACTGTGTCACTTTCTGCGGTTGGTGCTTGCCACACTTCTTCCAGAAAGTCCTGCAGGTTTTAGGAATGTTCACCATGTTTGTGGGAGTGCTATCAGCATGGAAAGAGATTTTTTTTTTTTTTTTTGAGCTGTTGAGTTTCTCCAGCAAAGAATCCTTTAGTTTCTCACCTGTGGGATAACCAAAAACGAAATAGAGTAGTAAGGTGGAGCTATCCGTTTTATATTAATTCCCTTGTTACAGCCGTACTTCATTCCTGCTCATTATTCTTAGTGTCCCACAGTCTCAAGCTTCTTCTGTTCAGTTTCTTCTGATAATAAACTTTCTGCCTCTTTCCTAGTATGCCAACACCTTGCTGTTGGTGTTCTGGGAGTGGGAAAAAGGATAACTGTTATTTGCAGATACTTTGAACTGTATCCCTGCTTTTTCATTGGGTCCTCACTTCTGTCCTCTACAGTACCTTGTGCCTTCATGTTCTAAACTTCTTTTTCAATGATAGTTATCTTATTGATACTTTCTTCCATACCATTTAACTTGTGGGTTCCCATCCTGCTATAGTAGTTGTACTCTCTTTATAATACAGATTGTAGGGTCATTATGCTTTTCTGTATTTAGATTCTTTCTAGTAAGCGTGTATTCTATAATTAGGTCTTTAAATCATAAAAATTCAATAAATATTTTCTTTCATAATTGTTTATAGTTTGATGTTTTATATTTAATTTTCTAATTTATGTAAAATTAATCTTGCTAGATGCTTATCAGTAGAGATTCTGTTTTCTCCCCTAAATAACTCTTCAGTTATAAGTTGAAGGTAATGCCAGGAGCTTACATGCCACGGCTGGCTTATGATGATATGCCCATGTAAATGTTGATCAAAGGAATAAATGGGAAGCTTTATATCTGAGCAATGATTTGGTTGAACCCCCTTATCTGACAGGAAAAAAACTAAGGGCCAAGTAGGTTAATTTATTTTCTGAAAGTACTACAAAAGTTGTTTTTATATTTTAGGTTTCCATGCTTGAATTTGCTCAACAGCAGGCAGCCAGTGTCCCAATCTTAGAAGAACAGATTATAAATTTGGAAGCAGAGGTTTCAGCTCAAGATAAAGTTTTGAGGTAAATATACTTTTTATAGCTCTCAAAGTTTTATTTGCTACTTTTACATTTTGTTATATCTTGTTAAATCTTGTTCCCCACACCCAATATATTTACATACCCTAATGGTGTTCAGTTGTCTTAGAACTCGTTGAATCTATTTTTAGTCAATCATAACTCCTCTTGGCTGTAGGTTGCATGCAATATATAGGGGTTAAAAAAGACTAAGGTGAGATGCCTATTTACATGCTTTTGTCAAATATGAATTAGTTCATTTCTTCACCTACATAGCAGTATATACTCAGTATTTCAAAGGGAGTTCAAGAAATAAAATGTAAAGGAGTCAGACACTTTTATTATTTTTACAGACAGGGTCTCACTCTGTCACCTAGGCTGGAGTGCAGTGGTGCAATATGGCTCACTGCAGCCGCAGCCTCCTGGGCTCAAATGATCCTTCTGCCTCAGCCTCCCAAGTAGTGGGACTACAGGCACACACCACTGTGCCCAGCTGAGCTTTTTATTTTTTATTTTGTAGAGACGGGGTCTCACTATGTTGGTCAGGCTGGTCTCAAACTCCTGGCCTCAAGCAGTTCTCCTGCTTCGGCCTCTCAAAGTGTTGGGATTATAGGCATGAGCTGTCATGCCTTGCCATCAGGCACTTTATAATTTATTCTCTTCTGCTTTGAATAAAATGGGAAATATATGCATATTAAATAACATATTACTCTGAGTGATTCTGAGAATATAGTTAAACGACCAGCAGTAGTAGCATCACCTGGGAACTTGTTAGAAATGCAAATTCTCAGACCTTATCTCTGGCATACTGAACCAAGTTGGGAGGTGTTTCACAAGTTCTGCAAATGATTTGCTGCATACTAAAGTTGTCTTTTATGTCCATCAGAGTTTTGTAATTTTCTTTGTAATACATATATTATTTTAAATTTATTTGTAGGTATTTTATATTTTTAGTAATTGTGAATTGTTCCTACTTTGTTCATTGCTAGTGTATGGGAAGGTTACTGACTTTTGTGTAATATAATTATTTTGTAATTGGTAGCTAATGGTATTATCAGCAAATAAAGAAAATTTTGTTTCTGACTCAAAGAGTAGGAAAAAGAAAAAAATTTTGTCTTTCCTTTTCAGCATTTATACTTCTTAATACCTTTTCATATTTGCTTTTTGCAGTGGGTAGAACTGTTAGTAAAGTTGTTGGATGTGGGATGATAACAGTCATCCTTATTTAGTTTCTGAACTATACAGGAATGCTTCTGGTATCTGACTATAAAATATGATGTGAGTTATTACTTCAGATATATTTATCATCTGGTGAAAGTATTCTTTTATTTTTAAAAAAACTCTTAATTAACAAGGGATGAATATACCTTTTTCTCTGTCTCTTTTTGTATATTGTTTTGCTTAACTCATTGATTTAAACAGATATAATTCCTAATATTAAATTATTCTTGCATACCTGGGATAATCTCTTTAGTAGTCTTAAAACAAAGTATCCTTTATTTTATAGAGAGGCAGAAAATAAGCTGGAACAGAGCCAGAAAATGGTAATTGAAAAGGAACAGAGTTTGCAGGAGTCCAAAGAGGAATGTATAAAATTAAAGGTGGACTTACTTGAACAAACCAAACAAGGAAAAAGGTATGTGTTTTTAAAGCAAATACATTTTTTTGAAAGGAATAAAAGAATATATTACCTGTTTAAAATTCTAGTTAATTTTTGAAGTGAAAAAATTTCAGAGATTTGGCAATAGAATAACTTAATGTTCTTTTTATCTATTAATTTTTTGAAATTTTCCATTAAAATGTTTGTCTGTGGAATTTATGTTGTAAGCATTCTGGATTGGGCTGAATTTCTACAAAACTGATAATGATTATCAGTGTAATGATACTTATATCTGAAATTAAGTTCTGTGGCCTATTTGAAATCAGTATACTGAGTTTAAAATACTAACAGGGAAAAAGCCTGTAAATTAATATTACCTCTAATAAAACTAAATAAAATGTTGAATGAACTCTTAAAAAGAAAATTTTGCCTCATAGAGAAAGAAACTCAATGCATGAGAATGTGTGGTTGGATCTTCCTTTAGAAATATATAAGTAGTACAAAAATATCTATTTCGTATAAATTATATCTGGAGATAAAGTCTTTTAAGTGTCTCTGTCCAAGGAACCATTAACTCTGAATGCCAGTTCACTTTTAAAGTGATAAAGATTTAAATTTTTTTAGTTTAAGCTAATAAGATTTTATAATGAAATAGGATTATAGCAGTTTTTATACAGTATAAAGCCATAATCTGTACTAAGCAATATTACAAATATTAGTAGAAAATGCTTAGGTTTTGGAGTTAGAAAATTTTTAGATTTTACCTCTCATTGGCTTTGTTACCTTGGCCAAATGATATAACCTTTTGAAATCTCAGGTTTTTTTCATTCATTTCATTAAATAAAAACGATATTATCTTTATATGGATAGATATGAAGAGTAAATAAAAAAAGAAATATAAGGTACCTCTTAATAAATACTAATAATTCGTAACTATTATATAAACTTTGTGGTTACATATTCTAGAATTCACACTTTACTTACTCAGATAAGCTTTGCATATGGTTATTTAAAATAGTGAGATAATAATACATGAAGACCACATTCACAATATAGCTGCCAAGAAAAAATAAAGAGGAAGAGCTACTAGTTTCCTCTATAGAACTTAGATAAGAGATGATTTTCAGGGTATTGACTTTGTTGTTGTTGTTGTTTGAGGTGGAGTCTTACTCTGTCTTGCAGGCTGGAGTGCAGTGGTGTGATCTTGGCTCACTGCAGCCTCCGCCCCATGGGTTCAAGCAGTTCTCCTTTCTCAGCCTCCTGAGTAGCTGGGATTACAGGCATGCACTACCACACTCAGCTAATTCTTTTATTTTTAGTAGAGACAGGGTTTCACCATGTTGGTCAGGCTGGTCCCAAACTCCTGACCTCAAGTGATCCACCCTCCTCGGACTCCCAAAGTGCTGGAATTATAGGCCTGAGCCACTGCGCCCAGCTAAGTATTGACTTTGGCTTCACAAAGTGAGTAAGTGGGGACAGACACATTCTGGGCAGCATGTGCAAAGGTATAGACATATTAAAGAGTATCATTGCTGAAGAACTCTTAAGTAATTTTATGTTCTTATAAGTAAATAGGTGTAGTGGGAGATGAGACATGAAAGACACACTGGATCCAGACTGTAAATGACTGTGTGTGTTATACCAAAGGATTTGTATTTTAACCTGGAGAGCATAAATAGCCAATTGAGATTTTTAGGTAGAGGTATGATATGAAGACTCTTGGAGCTTTTTGAAGAACTAAAATGAATATTGACTTTCTGCTGTGGTCTGAATGTGTCCACCCAATTTTTTGTATTGGAAACTTAATGCCAATACAACACTGTTGGGAAGTGGAGCGTTTAGGAGGTACTTAGGTCACAAGGGCTCTGCTTTCATGAACGGATTAATGCCATTATAAGAGGGCTTGACAGAGGGAGTTTGTCCCTTTTTTCCTTTCTGTCATGTTAGAACATAGTGTTCCTCCTCCTTGGAGGATGTAGCATTTAAGGCACCATCTTGGAAGCAGAGAGATTAGGCCCTACCAACCTGCCAGTGCCTTGATTTTGGACTTGCCAGCCTCCAGAACTGTGAGAAATACATTTCTGTTTTTTATAAACTACCTAGACTATGATATTTGTCCAGCAGCACAAATAGACTGGCATATTCTGAGATTGAAAGATCAAAACCTTTGCAAGGACTATTTTTTGGGTGGAGAAGATTAATCATAATGGATTAAAAAGCCAGTGTAAAGGGAGAGATTGTTTAGCTTTATGCTGTTTTTAAGAGATTACCTAAAACATAAGGACACAGGAAAATTGAAAGCAGACGGGGTGCGGTGGCTAGCCTAGCACTTTGTAATCCTAGCATGTAATCCTAGCACTTTGTGGGGCCGAGATGGGTGGATCACTTGAGCTTGTGAGTTCAGGACCAGCCTGGGCAACATGGCGAAACCCCATCTCTACAAAAAATATAAAAATTAGCCAGGTGTGGTGGCACAGGCCTGGAGTCCCAGCTATTCAGGAGGTTAAGGTGAAAGGGGTTGCTTGAGCCTAGGAGGCAGAGATTACAGTGAGCCGAGATTATGTCACTGCACTCCAGCCTGTATGACAGAGTGAGACTCTGTCTCAAAAAAGAAAAAAAAAAAGAATGGAAAGGAATGTTTCAAATACCCACCAAAGCAAAGTTGATATTACTGTATTAGGATCAGAATAGACTTCAATGCAATGAACATTACCAACATTAAAATGACTCATATAATGTTTAAGTGACACTTAGCCAAGAAGATATAAAGACTCTAAACCAGCAAGCTATAAAGACTCTAAACTTATATGTATCTAATAATTTAGTCCCAAAATACATAAGAAAAATAACACAATTTCAGGGAGGAAAGAACAAATCTGTAGTCATATGGGGAAAATTCTTTATACATTTATCAGGAATTGTTAAGTAATAAAAAATTAAGACTTGAAGTGTTGAGTAAGACAATTAATATTCTTGATCTAATGGATGTGCATATGGAACCCTGTAGTCAACAGTTTGAAATTGACGTTCTTTCAAGCAGATGTAATCTGTTACCTCACTATGCCAGATAGCATGAATTTGAAAAAATTCCAAAAGATTGATGTAGTGTGTATTGTTTTCTCCAACCACAGTTCAGTTAAGTTAGAATATAACTCCTTGAAATCCTGTATGTTTGGAAATGTAAAACCAGGCTTACTGGTGTTCACTGACTATTGAATAAATTAGAAAACATTTAGAACTGAGTGATATAAAAAAAATTGTGCATCACTGCTTGTAGGCTGTACCTAAAGACACTCTTAGAGGAAAAAATTGAACCTTATATACATGTATTATATCATGACTGAAAATTAATGAACTAAAATAGCCAATTGTGTGGTCAGGAAAAGGAGGACATCAGAAGAAAGAATGAACACCAAAGAAAATAGAAGTAAGGAAATAATAAAGATAAGGATGAAGTGGATGAATAGAAAACAATGAAACAATATAAAGGATTACCAAAACCTAAATGTGGTTATTTTCACAATGAACAAGAAAATGGGCATCAGACAAGATTAATAAAGCAGAAAAGGCACAAGTGTTGGGATTGACAAGGGACTCCCAAACTACACATTTAGCTATAAATCGGTAAGCCATAAGAAATATGTAAGAAATAAGACCAATAACTGAATCATTTTAAGGATGATACATTTGAAAACTTAGACTAAATAAATTTCTTAGCAAAATATAATTTAACAAAACTAACTTTAAAATAAATGGAAAACCTGAAAAATATATATATATATGTGTGTGTGTGTGTGTGCATCTATATATGTGTATACATATATATATGTGTGTCTGTATATATAGCTATTAGGGATATCAAATCAACAATTAAAAATCTGCCCACAAATAACTAAACTAGTCAAAACAATGACGACAAATGGAAACATCAGGCCCGCTATGGCCCATGATGGCTAAAATGGAAAAGACTCTCAAAAACAAGTTTTGGCGAGGATGTGGAATTGAAACTCTTCTGCATTTCTAATGGAAGTGTAAATTTGTAGAACCACTTTGGAAAACTGTCAGTAGCTGCTAAAGGTAAACATAAGCCTGCCTTAGGATCCACCATTCATTTCAACAAAACTTAGTCCCTATGTTAAAAGACATGTACAAGAATGTTAAAGTAATTTTATTTGTAATTGCTAAATATTCATCAACAGTGTAATCGATAAATAAACTGTGGTATGTTCACATAATTAATTATACACATAATTAATGTAAAAAAGAGCAGCTACAACTATGTAACAACATGGGTTAATATCACACATACAATGCTCAGTAGAAGAAGCCACAATAGAATACTGTATAATTCCATAGCAAATCAAGGATAGGCAAAATTAACATATGTTGTTAAAAGTCCAAATGGTGCTTACCTTTTTGGGGTAAAGAATACTCACTGGGAAGGTACACAGGGGAGCTGGAAGTGTTCTCTATTTGATTGGGATAGTAGTTAAGTAAGTATATACATTATTAAAACATTCACTCAATTAGGATTTCTGTACTTTACTCAATAAAAAATTAAAATCAATTAAGAAAAACTATAAGAAAAAATCTACAGAAGATACGTATAGTCTTAATTTTTTTTTGAGAGATATGGTATTGCTTTGTTACCCAGGCTGGAGTGCAATGCTGTGATCGTGGCTCACTGTAGCTCCCAACTCCTGGGCTCAAGCGATCCTCCCACCTCAGCCTCCCAGATAGTTAGGACTACAGGCTTGCCCCACCACACCTTACTAATTTTGTTTGTTTGTTTTTTTTTTGAGACGGAGTCTCGCTGTGTTGCCCAGGCTGGAGTGCAGTGGCACAATCTCGGCTCACTGCAAGCTCCGCCTCCCGGGTTCACACCATTCTCTTGCCTCAGCCTCCCGTGTAGCTGGGACTACAGGCGCCCGCCACCACACCCGGATAATTTTTTGTATTTTTAGTAGAGACGGGGTTTCACTGTGTTAGTCAGGATGGTCTCGATCTCCTGACCTTGTGATCCACCCGTCTCGGCCTCCCAAAGTGCTGGGATTATAGGCGTGAGCCACTGTGCCTGGCCCACACCTGACTAATTTTTAAATTTTTTTTAGGCATGGGGTCTCACTGTGTTGCCCAGGCTGGTCTTGAGCTCCTGGACTCAAGCGGTCCTCCTGCCTTGGCCTCCTGAAGTGCAAGTATTATAGGGATGAGCCACTGTGCCTGGCTTTAGTGCATATTTTAGAATGTATTCGGGGTTTGTTTTAATCACGTATGGTAAGATACAGACACATGACTGACATGAAGGAAGAAATTTTTATACTTACAGATTTCTGGAAGCAGCTCTATGCTGTTTTGGGATCCTTGGGGTGTTGCTTCACCAGCCAGAAACCTCTGTGGCCAGTGGCACCTTTGCCTGAGTTTTGCTCTGGCCCACTGGGCTCATTCCGCCCACTCAGCTACCACCCTGGATCCCACACCTGTCAAGAGTGAGCTAGGTGCAGAATGACAAGGGGTGTGTGAACAACTGTAGGCACTGGCCACTATGCATAGCCAGGCACGCTGGCTGTGGTAGTGTGAGCAGCTCCAGGCGCCAGCTCCCTGTGAGGCTGTGGCTGGACCAGGCGTAGCATAAGCAGCTTCCATGGCTGACACCAGGGAACGTGGTGGTGCCGGAAGCTTGGAGACACCAGGAACCACAGAGCCCTAAAGAGGGTGTCACAGCCCTGGCTCGGGAAGCTCATAGGTCTGGGTTCTCCGAAGGGCTGCAGCTCTTCTCTCCTTCTCTTGCCTTTTCTTCTTGTTGCCTGCAACGTGGTGAACAAGGGGTGTGTTTCAGCCATTTGTGTTACAGCATTTTTAGCCCCACCATTCAGTGGGTCCTGAGTTCTTGTCCTGTGTCTGGGAAGAATGAGGTACGCAAACAAGTGGAGGGTAAGCAATACAAAGAGAAGCTTTGTTGAGCGACAGAACAGCTCAGAGGAGACCCGCAGTGGGTAGCTCCTCTGAATGGCTACCCCCACCTCATTTGCGTTCTGGTACATGTAGACATAGTAAATGCAGCAGTACCCGATGTCGATTGCCACCTTCACAGCTTCAGTTACCTGGCCCAAGGGGGACTTGCAGGTGCCAGCCCCAGGATGAGCATCTAGGCGCTGTTGTTGAGCATGAGGTAGCTGGCTGTGGCTGCTGCACTTTATGGACCCCCACCTGGAACTGTCTTATTTTATTTTATTTTTTTAGAGATAGGGTCTTGCTGTGTCACCCAGGCTAGAATGCAGCATTGCGATCATGGCTCACTGCAGCCTCAAATCCCTGCGCTCAAGGGATCCTCCTGCTTCAGCCTCTAGAGTAGCTGGGACCACAGGTGTGCACCACCACTCCCAGTTAACTTTTTGTAGAGATGATCTCACTGTGTTTACCAGACTGGTCTCTAACTTCTGGCTTCAAGCAATCCTCCTGGCTCAGCCTTCTAAAGTGTTTGGAATACAGGTGTGAACCACCATACCCAGCACATAAAAATTTTAGAGATGTTAAAAATGTGAAACCATGGTAAGACTATAGGTGGTTATTAAAGAAAAAAAAAAAAAAAAAACAGAAAAAACAGAAGCGAAAACAGGCTGGGCACAGTGACTCACTCCAGTAATGCAAGCACTCGAGGGGGCCAAAGTGGGAGTATTACTTGAGGCCAGGAATTCAAGACCAGCCCGGGCAAAATAGCAAGACACCCATCTCCACACACACAACAAAAAGTGAAAACAATGTGCCTCTCAGAATAGATGAACTGTGGTATATACTATTTGTGGGTATAGGTTAACATGAATGTACAAAATAAAAAACACCCAAATCAGGATAGAGTGCCTCTCAGAATAGATGAACTGTGATATATACTATTTGTGGGTGTAGGTTAACATGAATGTACAAAATAAAAAACACCCAAATCAGGATAGGGTTACCTCTGTGGAAGAAGTCAGGGGAATGGGATTTGGACAGGACACATAAGGACCTCAACTTTATTTGTGATGTTTTGTTTGTCTTCTGTAGCCTTTTCAGACAAAGAGTGAAGATTCATTAAAACATGATTGGAAGTACTTGGTAATATTTATCCACACTTTTGTGTGTGGCTGAAATATGTCATTACTTTTTACAAATTGGAAGCGAGGAAGAGTAGATAAGTGTAAAGTGGATAAGTCTGGCTTGAAAAGAAGGATGAGGCCGGGCGCGGTGGCTCAAGCCTGTAATCCCAGCAATTTGGGAGGCCGAGATGGGTGGATCACGAGGTCAGGAGATCGAGACCATCCTGGCTAACACGGTGAAACCCTGTCTCTACTAAAAAAAATACAAAAAACTAGCCGGGCGAGGTGGCGGGCGCCTGTAGTCCCAGCTACTCAAGAGGCTGAGGCAGGAGAATGGCATGAACCTGGGAGGCGGAGCTTGCATTGAGCCTAGATCGTGCCACTGCACTCCAGCCTGGGCAACAGAGCGAGACTCCATCTCAAAAAAAAAAAAAAAAGAAAGAAAAGAAGGATGATAGAGGAAAGCACAATATGTGGGAAGGTTTTTGTTTGTTTAAGTGAGAAATACAGGTATCCTTTGCTCTGAACAGTACCTGTGCACATTCAGGAATTGATTATATTCCTACAGATTTTCAGAGAAATCCTTGGTTGTCCTTACTTTCCTTTATCTGAAACTTTGGAGTCAGATAGACATACTTAACCACATAGATTCAGGAAGTTAGGAATACTTTTACTTGAACTTTTTATACTTGTGGCAAAATAACCAACAGAGGGAATGAAAATACAGAAGCTAGAGTGCATTTCTGAAGGGTTAAGAGTTAAGATCCAGACTATAAATAGAGTAATTCATCCTGGATAAGAGGAGGGTCACTAACCTCACTTACATTAGAAAGAATATGATGGGAATAGGTTTAAATATTAAAATATTTTTAGGCGTCAGTGTGATATTGACCAAGTATTCTCAATGTATTGTGCCCCAAATTTTCATTTCATTACAAGAAGCGTAAGGAACTAAGAGATGAGGCAACAAGGTTAGGCTTAAATAGTGCTTGGTGGTGGTTATGTTTTTTGTTGTCTAGATTTCTATATCTGGTATCAATAGAAGTTAACATTTTTTTAAATACTTGTTTGAAATTTATTTGACCTTTGCAAAGGTCACAGAATTTACTGAGTATATTTAATATTCTAGACAATAGACTGATGTTGTAATTCCTAACCTTTGAAAATTTTTCATCCAGCCTCAGGCTATTTTCCTAATCTGTCTTTTTCAGATAGGGGGAAAAAATTGCCAACACATAAGAATTTATATATATTTCAACATATATGTTTATAATTGTTTTGTGTTATATTTTATTTTTCATATTGATAGAGTGAGAAAGTTTTTGTAGTATGATCTACATTCTTTGTTTTATACTTTAAGCCTAATACTTCTTTTTAGTACAGAGAAATTTGTTTCTCTCCAATTATTCCTTATAATTAAAGATTACTTTGGAACTTAACTATTCAAATGCAGAGCATTCTTTACTTTTATTCATTATCTCTTTTTAAATTTTAGAGCTGAACGACAAAGGAATGAAGCACTATACAATGCTGAAGAGCTGAGTAACGCTTTCCAACAATATAAAAAGAAAGTGGCTGAAAAACTGGAAAAGGTAAGAGGCAGTTGTGCAAATTCAGTGTTTTGTATTACTCTCTATATTCCAACAATAAAGGTAGGAATAATTAAAATATGTTTATGGTTGAGACAGAGAGTAATTTTTATGATCTTATAAAATCATTTAAATAAACAATTTGTAAATGTTAGTTAAGGATGATGTTTACCAACCCTTTTATTATCAGCAGAAACTTTTTTATCCAAAGAAGGAAAAGAGTAGAGAGAGGAGAAGGAACAAAATATAGAGAAGGATGGAATATGTGAACAGAGATTGGAGCTAGAGAAGTAGAAGAAAGAAATTCATTTTTATCACTTCAGTGAAAATGAAGACAGATTATGTAGCCTTCAACTGGTCTCTCTGAGTCTGCTACTCTGAGAGGGGCTGGCTTCTGCCTCTCAGAGGGAAGGTTCCTTGAACTGATTTGATGTAGAAATATAGTGAGTTTATTACATTCATTTATTATATTCATTTAGTATCTTTAAGTAATATCACACGGTAATGAAATGTGTGTGGAGGAACACCACAGTTGGGTATTCAGATAATGAGCTCAAAAGAGAGGTCTGGTAAAGAGATACTAATATGGGAGCTTCCATCTTGAGATAACAGTGAAAGCAGAGGAAGTTGATGATTCTGTTCAAACAAAGGTAGAAAGGCAGAGGAAGGAATGTTTAGGTAGAACGGTAGAATGAGAAGATGGGTATTCATTTATTAAACAATTATGAAATTCCTTTTACATGCCAGGTACTGTGCTAGTCTCTGGGAGATTCGGTGATACATAACACATGATACCTACCCTAAAGAGCTCACTGTCTAGTAAGATTGACAAGTATATAAACAAATAATTTCAGTATTTTGGAATACGAAGTATAATATAGAAATAAGAGGTAGGTGTAGTAGGGTGGGATGAAGGTGGCAGTGGTTAATAAACTCTGGTGGGCCCAAAGAAGGCTTCACAGAGTAGGCAATGCTTGAGCTGCTACGCTATCTCAAATATTGTGGTATATCATTGAATAGTGTTAAGCAGGGAAAATGATTCAAAATCTATGTTCTAGGAAGCTCACTCTGATGTCATGTGAAGATGCATTTGAGAGGTGAGAAACAAGTCAAGGAGACTTTAAAAGACAAGGCAAGAGATATTGAAGATGAAGGAGCTGAGTAGATAGCTATGAGGGATGTTAAAGTTGGGGAATCAGTGGGATCTAGTGACCACTTGAATGCATTAGAAGCCGGCAGTATGAGAAAGAAGAATATAGGATATTTTTAGGTTGCTGGTTTGAGTGACTGCTGGATGATTGCATCATGAATCAAAATAGACAATTCAGGAAAAAAAGTTAATGAGTTCTATTTTGGAAATGTCTGTAGAATAACCAGTTACAGGTTTCTAGTAGGCTTTTGTATCTATAGGTCTGGATTTCGATATAGAAATCTGTACTAGGGCTGTAGTTTTGAGAATTGACAGTACTGAATTAAAGTGGTAGAAGCCTTGGACATTGACAGAGTTCATATAGAATGAGAACAAGAGGGAAGATACCCTGGGAGATAAAGAACAGATAGATTAGCTTTTGAAAGATATCGATAAGTTATTTTAAAAAATTAGAGAATCAGGAAAGTATAATACGAAAAGTCAAGGCGATAGAACATTTTAAAAAGAAGGTGGTGATCTTCAGTGCCAGATGTTGCAAACTGGTCAAGAAGAATGAGGACTGAACCAGGTGTGGTGGCTTACGCCTGTAATTGCAGCTACTCAGGAGGCTGAGGTAGAAGGATTGCTTGAACTCAGGAGTTAGAGGCTGCATTAAGCCCTGATAATGTCACTGCACTCAGGCCTGAGTGAAAGAGCAAGACCCTGTCTGTAAAAAATCAGAAAAAATTTTTAGAAAGATGAGGAATGAGACAGGGCTCTTGGTTTTTATAATCAGGGAGTCTTTGGATACTTTGTAGAGAGCAACTTATTAAAATAGAAGGCACAACCTCTGAAATGGGAGAGATGGAAAGGGAGAGAGTAGAGGTAGCTAACAGACAATTCTTTACATATGATAGGTGAAGAGGAAGTAAGTGTGTGTGGCGGGTTGGGAAAGTCGGCGAATGGAAGGGAAGAAAGAAGCTAAGTTAAGGTGAAGAAGCTGTGGTAAAGCACCTAAGGGTACCCTGAACTTATTAGTAGGGGGAGATTGAAGATGCTAGAATTATAAGGAATAAAAGATGGCACAAGAGTCTGAACGATATGCAAGATGATAGTCCAAGAGCAGAAGTGAGATTCTTTTTTTTAATGAAATAGGACATTTCTTTTCTTTGTGGATAAAAAGAGAAAAAAGTTTTAGGTGGAAGGAAATTGAAGGATTTTGAATTAAATGTCTTTGGTCCCATAAGTTAAGATGTTGCTTAAGAAATTTTCATAGCGTAAGGAGGATAGGAGGGATTTTGGAAACTTGGGGTGAGTATTTCTCATAATATAGTTGCAATAAGGAAAGTCAAGAAATTCACTAAACTTTTGAGAGTATAAATAGAAAGAAAAGAGCAGTCAGGAATTATGAGTTAATGAAAGGAAGCAAAGAAAACAAGAGTGGCCAGAGTCAAGTGTAATATTGTCATGACAGCTACATGGTAAAATATTTTAGAGGAGAAGTTACCAACAATATTAAATACTGAGATCCAGGAGAAAGTCTGCAGTTGATTACAAAGTGGTAATTCCTTTGCAGTAAAACTGTGAATATCACTTGGCAGTGTAAAATATTAAGGTCTCACTAGGTATTGAAATCTTAAATGTGAATTAGTTAATAAGAAGGCAGTTTTGAGAGTCTTGGAGAGGGTGCTTGTGGGAAAGAAATATCTTAGAAGGGATTTTTAATAAGGTGATCAGTAAGGGGAGGTAGAAGACCTAGTAGGAGGAATATTCTTGGGGAGAAGAAGGACTTTATGGAGAAAAGAGAGAAGAATGTAAGAGACAGGTTTTTTTTTTTTACACTTAGGATTATCAGTTGCAAACAATGCTCAGCAAAGCCCTATAGTTAAGTGGATGTAACAGGGTAACAAAGGAATTGGGGCAGATATACCCAATCTTCTCCTCTCAACACTGTATCCTGGGTGCTTTTATCTGTTCTACATTTTGGGCTGTGGTTTCATTGGTAAATTTTGTGGTTAAAATTTCAAAAACAACCTCTCTGGAACATTTGCACTAAAATTAACCTTTAGTAACTCGTACACAGCAGCTCTAGATGAATTTTTGCTTTCAGTTGATGCAGTTGCCTATCTGTTACAGGTTTTCTGGACATGTAGTATCATCCTTTTCTCTGTCTTTTGTTACTGCCCAGGAACTTCACTTTGCTACTTTTCACTGAGGCTGGGGACTTAAATGTATGAAATTCTTAGTTTACATTCCTGCTTATTTCTGAAATCACTACTTACATTTTTAGCTTGAAACACCTAAAACTTACAACCACATTAGTATGTCCACTTAAATTATTGTTTTAGGTTCAAGCTGAAGAAGAAATATTAGAGAGAAATCTAATTAACTGTGAAAAAGAAAATAAAAGGCTACAAGAAAAGTGTGGTCTATGTAAAAGTGAACTTGAAATTCTGAAAGAGAAATTAAGGTACAGTATTCTGTTGTAGAAAAAGGATTTTTGTGTGGAGATGGAAAAAACTGAAACATTTTTAAACAATATTTTATATGTTGTAATTATGGGCTTACATTATATAGAAGGATAGGCTTCATGACTGAAACTGTTTTCTAGCTATCGAGTTAGAATTAGAAATGAAGTAAAATGTGTTAATGCGAATATACTTGTAAATATGGAGAAGTTCTGATCAACATATTTGCTTTGCATATATTTAGGGAAAATTAATAGACATAATGTCATTGGTGTATGACCACATTAACTTGCTAGTAAAATGTGTATAATATCCAGTGTTCTAATAAAAAATGTTTTTCAAATCATAAAAAATTACCTAGTCCAAACTTCTCATTTTATAAGTAAAGAAACAGAAGCCCCGAGAGTAGCCAGAATTTACTGAAGGTCTTTGAAAGATCAAAGTCTTCTGACTCCTATACTCTCTCTTAGTATATCTTGTTGTCCTCTTAAAACTAACACCCATCAGCTTTCCGAGGTTAATATTAATCAGTCTTTATCACTTCAAACTGTTAATTTTTTTTAAAAAAGGGGGGAGCAGGAAGCAATCAGAATAACTGGTTTGTCTAATTTTGCCGTACTTTCCTTAAGGTAGTCTGTTTAGTATTTTTGCCAAGGAGGAGGGAGTAAAGATGCTTTTTACTAGAGTATTTTCTAGAATTGATTATCGATTGCAAGATCTACTTTTAAGAAAGAAAAATGCTGCCAATTACACTATGATGCAATCCTTCATCACTTAAAATGTTTATACTTCATGAAAGAATTTTTGTATATTTAATTACGTATGATTTCTTAAGTTATGTTATTTTTATATTTTCCAAAAAAATGTTATTTTCATATTTCAAATATAAGTGAAATAAATTGGTTAAGATATTTTTAAAACTTCACATTTGGAGTCTGACCCTTCTAAAATGTCTAAGATTTTCAACACAGTATCTCCCAGTGTGCCATTAAGAGTTGCTGATGCAGTATTTCTTAAAAGAATCCTTGTAAGGGCTGGGTGCGGTGGCTCTTGTCTGTAATCCCAGCACTTTGGGAGGCTGAGGTGGGCGGATCACGAGATCAGGAGATCGAGACCATCCTGGCTAACACAGTGAAACCCCATCTCTACTGAAAAAAAAAAATTAGTTGGGCGTGGTGGCGGGCGCCTGTAGTCCCAGCTACTCGGGAGGCTGAGGCAGGAGAATGGCATGAACCCAGGAGGTGGAGCTTGCAGTGAGCCAAAATTGCGCTACTGCACTCCAGCCTGGGCAATACAGTGAGATTCCATCTCAAAAAAAAAAAAAAATTCTTGTAAGAAGAGAAAGTCATTGATGCTGGGCTCTTAAGCTGATTGTACAATTATGTAAAGCCAGTTTACTTTTTCTCCTGTTTTAGGAATCCAAAACTTTGATGATAATGCGAATGCTATGTCAGCGATTTTGGAGTTAGATTTCCTGTCTTATATAATTAAACAGGGAGCAGAAATGCTTTCAAGATAGTAGGGCTGTCCTTCCCTGCCATTTACTGTGAGACACTGGGAAAGTTATTTAACCTTTTCGTGCCTCAGTTACCTCATCTGTAAATAAGAAGTAATAATAGTGCTAACCACATAAAGTTGTGAGTGCCTGGCATGCAAAAAGTAAATGTGAGCAGGTATTTTTTTAGAATTAAGCTTCAAAAAATTTTAAAAGTGAGATTAAATAAATGTGTTTGAAAATGAATGCATATATATTTTATTTTCATTTTTATTCTCTTTTCTTCATAGGCAGTTAAAAGAAGAAAATAACAATGGAAAAGAAAAACTAAGGATCATGGCAGTGAAAAATTCAGAAGTCATGGCACAGCTAACTGAATCTAGACAAAGTATTTTGAAGCTAGAGAGTGAGTTAGAGAACAAAGACGAAATACTTAGAGACAAATTTTCTTTAATGAATGAAAACCGAGAATTAAAGGTCCGTGTTGCAGCACAGAATGAGCGACTAGATTTATGTCAACAGGAAATTGAAAGTTCAAGGGTAGAACTAAGAAGTATGGAAAAGATTATATCCCAGTTGCCAGTAAGTATGTGTGATTACGTAATGGAAAAGAAGAATTTTACTAAAGTGTTTTAGAAAAGACTATCATTTTGTGGTTGCTTTATTAGCTTCTAATTTTTTTCTTTCCTCTTTAGTCTTGAATTTCTCTTCTATCTAATCTGTTTTTTTTCCTGCACTTAACCATTGTACACTTTTTCCCAGTTTCTCAGATGCCATATATTAAAATGGCACAGAATTTTTTTTAAACAGCTTTATTGAAGTATCATTTACATACCATAAAATTTGCCTATTTTAAGTGTACTAATCTATGATTTTTAGTAAATTTGCAAGTTTTGTAACAATCACCACAATCCAGCTTTGAAACATGTCTATCATCCCCAAAAGGTATTTTGGACCCATTTATAATTAGGCCCTCTATTCCCTTCTACCCATAGGAAGACACTAATAGTTTTTGCATCTATAGATGTCTTTTCTGGACATTTCACATAAATGCACTCATATAATATGTGCTCTTTTGCATCTGGTCTTTTGCATTCTTAATGTTTTTGAGAGTCATTCATGTTGTGATATCAGTATTTCATTTCTTTTTATTGCCAAATAGTATTTCATTATATAGATATGTTACATTTGATTTATCCATTCACTGGTTGATGGACATTTGGATTGTTTCCACTTTGGGATATTATGAATAATGCTTATATGAACATTTGCATACAAGTCTTTGGACATGTTTTCATTTCTCTTGGGTAAATACCTAGGACTAGAATTGTTGAGTCATATGATGAATTTATTCCGAACTTATTAGAATGGCATAGAACTTTAATTTTTTTTTTTTTTGAGATGGTGTCTCGCTCTGTCGCCAGGCTGGAGTGCAGTGGTGAGATCTCGGCTCACTGCAACCTCCGCCTCCTGGGTTCAAGCTATTCGCCCGCCTCAGCCTCCCTAGTAGCTGGAATTACAGGCATGTGCCACCACGCCCAGCTAATTTTGTATTTTTAGTAGAGGCAGGGTTTCTGCACGTTGGTCAGGCTGGTCTTGAACTCCTGACCTCAGGTGATCTACCTGCCTCGGCCTCCCAAAGTGCTGGGATTACAGGCTTGAGCCACCATGCCTGGCCTAAAATGTTCTTATAATAATGGTCTACCACCTTTTCTCTTTGAGTTATATTTGTGACCATATATATAAGTGAGATTAAGAAGAAGGTAAGTAAACCTATTCAGGAATTTGTAATCAATAGGTGTAAAATGAAGGAAAGATCAGGGGAAACTATAGGTAAATATATTATGGTTGGTTTCACATATGAATGCATGGTAAACTAGACAGTAGACTTACTGATGTTAAACTATTATGAGCTGTGGAATTATGAACCAAAAAAATCTTAGCAACTGTCTGATTCAATATCATTTTATTGGTGAAGAAACCTAGACCCAAGGAAGTAAATAAATTGCTCAACTGGTAAGTAGTAGAATTTAAACTAGAACATAAAATCTTAGCTCCTCTGTTGTATCTGCTCTCCCCAGATGCTATTTGCTTAGATTTTTAATATACTATTTGCTTTTGAAATTAGAAAGTAATCATATACAGGTAACAATTTTAAATTGCATTCTCATTTGTGTATCAAGAATTATTTCATATATGGTCAGGCACAGTGGTTCATGCTTGTAATCCCAGCATTTTGGCAGGCCAAGGTAAGAGGAACTCTTGAAGCAAGAGTTCAAGACCAGCCTGGGCAATATAGCAAGACCATGTCTCTACAAAAATACAAAAATTAGCTGGGCATGGTGGTGCATGCCTGTGGTCCCAGCTAGTCGAGAAGCTGAGGTAGGAGGATTGCTTGAGACCAGGAGTTCAAGGCTGCAGTGAGTTCTATGATCATAAGCTCCAGTCGGGGCGACAGAGTGAGATCCTGTCTCTAAAAACAGAATTATTTGAGATATGATTCCGAATGTGGTAATGTATGCTTGATCATTTGTTTCTTGTAGTGCTAAGAATGATACGATTAGGAAATGTGATTTTTTTTTTTTCCCCACTTCTAGGAGGTGTGATTTGGTTACAGTTTGAAGGTAGAAGTCATTAAGTGCTTACCTTGCTCCTTTATAACTGTCTTTTAAAATTCTGTATTATCCAAACCAACAGAAAAGTGCATATGCTAGTGTAGCACCATATTTGTAAAATTTGGTACATGTATTGTCTTATCAACTCTATATTTTTTAGAATAAAATTTTATAGGTAAAGCTTCTTTGTGTACCTTGTCAGATCCCAATTCTCTTCCTCTCTCCTCAGAAATGGCAATTATTCTGAAATTCATGTGTATCCTTCTCATCCATGTTTTAAATACTGTCACGTATAGATGCATCTAGAAATATATATATGTTGCTTAGTGTTTTTATGAAAATACTGTTTGCCACTATAATTAGTTTTTCACTAATATTGTTATGAGATGTATCCATACTGATTTATGTGACTCAGGTTTATTTCTTTTAACTATTGTAGTTTTCCAATTATCTTAATATTTCTTAATATATTTATATATTCTCCTATTGATGGACATTAAGTTGTTACCATCAAATTCATACAGTTTTTAAAATTTTAAGTTCTGAATGAAAAAGCAACTACATCCCATGTACATAAGTTTACACGTGTTTGTTTTTAAACTTGCAGTTAAAAAGAGAATTATTTGGCTTTAAATCGTCTCTTTCTAAATACCAGATGAGTAGCTTCTCAAACAAGGAAGACCGTTGCATTGGCTGCTGTGAGGCGAATAAATTGGTGATTTCGGAATTGAGGTACAATTTTCAGAATCTTCAGTTATAGCAAATAGAATGTTTTTTATTGGTAATTAAGACCTTTAATTGGCTGAGCGTGGTGGCTCATGCCTGTAATACCAATACTTTGGGAGGCCAAGGTGGGTGGATCACAAGGTCAGGAGTTCGAGACCAGCCTGACCAACATGGTGAAACCTCATCTCTACTAAAAATACAAAAATTAGCCAGGCGTGGTGGTGGCACGTGCCTGTAATCCCCGCTACTTGGGAGGCTGAGGCAGGAGATTCACTTGAACCCAGGAGGCAGAGGTTGCAGTGAGCTGAGATAGTGCCACTGCACTCCAGCCTGAGCAACAGAGTGAGACTCCATCAAAAATAAAATAAAATAAAATAAAATAAAATAAAATAAAATAAAATGACCTTTAATTGAGGAATTTAAAAAATATACAGAAAAGCTCAGACTTCTTTTTTTTTTTTTTTTTTTTTTTTTTTTTGAGACAGAGAGTCTCGCTCTGCCGCCCAGGCTGGAGTGCAGTGGCGTGATCTTGGCTCACTGCAAGCTCCGCCTCCCGGGTTCATGCCATTCTCCTGCCTCAGCCTCCCGAGTAGCTGGGACTACAGGCGCCCGCCACCTCGCCCGATTTTTAGTAGAGACGGGGTTTCACCGTGTCAGCCAGGATGGTCTCGATCTCCTGACCTCGTGATCCGCCCGTCTCGGCCTCCCAAATTGCTGGGATTACAGGCTTGAGCCACCGCGCCCGGCCGAATTGAATCTTCTTAACCAGGATTGATTCTCCTTAAAATTTGTGGTATTTGTTTTAAATCTGTTTCTCTAAATAAAAAATAAAGCATTACAGGATGAATAATGCCCTTTGATCCTTATGACTAGTTCCATTTTTCCCCTAAGTATCCACCATCATGAATTGGATATATATTTCTCTATTCATTTTTGTGTGTTTATACACATATACACAAATATAAATATACTGTATATTGTGCAATTTTGCTTTTTCACTCAGCAGTATTTTAAAAATTCATTCATATTGAGATAGAGTAGATTAACAAATGGATTTGTGTGGTTAGTTACTTTGAATCACTGTGTAGGATTCTGTCCTATAACAGTGTCATAATTTATTTGTTCCTTTATAGGTATCTTGTTTCTATTTTCTGTTACAAACAGTGCTGCAAAGGACATCCTTATACATGTTTTCTTATACATATATATGAGAGTTTCTGTAGTATATATTCCTAAAAGTGAAGTTGCTGGGTCATAGAGTGTGTATGTTTTCAATTTTACTAGATACCATCAAGTTTGTAAAGTGACTGAACCAATTTATAATCCTACAATGGTCTATACGAGTTTTCATATCCTGCCTAAAGAGTTGACTAATATCAGAATTCTAATTTTATCAACTTGAAAGGTGAAAAATAGTACAGTAGGAGATATTTTTATAGAATCTTTCTAATAATTTTTCACTTCTTTTCTTTTGTGCCAGAATTAAGCTTGCAATAAAAGAGGCAGAAATTCAAAAGCTTCATGCAAACCTGACTGCAAATCAGTTATCTCAGAGTCTTATTACTTGTAATGACAGCCAAGAAAGTAGCAAATTAAGTAGTTTAGAAACAGAACCTGTAAAGCTAGGTGGTCATCAAGTGGGTAAGTATATTGAGTTGTTTTAATAAATTATATTTAGAGTTTTGGATGATAGTTTTTTTAAAAAAAACTTTAAAATTTTTTTAAAATTTAACTTAAGTTCAGGGATACATGTGCAGATTTGTTACATAGGTAAGCTTGTGTCATGGAGGTTTGTTTTACAGATTATTTCATCACCCAGGTATTAAGCCTAGTATCCCTTAATTATTTTTCCTGCTCCACTCCCTCCTTCCACCCTCCACCCTCTGATAGACCCCAGTGTGTGTTGTTCCCCTCTATGTGTCCATGTGTTCTCAGATGATAGTTTTTAAAGAACAAATTTATTAACTGTTTGGTTTGTATTATCAAACATACTTGATAATCTATTACTAGTTATGGTCTGATAAGACAGTAGAAGTTATTTCAGAATTATTAGACTTTGTATCATTCTTTAGTGAAGTAAAATTGATATCCAGTAAGACAGTGGTCCCCAACCTTTTTGGCACCAGGGACTGGTTTTGTGGAAGACATTTTTTCCATTGACCAGGGGCGGGGGCATGGGTGGTTTCAGGATGATTCAAATGCATGACTTTTATTGTGCACTTTATTTATATTATTATTACATTGATGATGAAATAATCATACAACTCATTGTAATGTAGAATCAATGGGAGCCCTGACTTGTTTTCCTGCAACTAGAAGGTTCCATCTGGGGGTCATGGGAGACAGTGACAGATCATCAGGCATTAGATTCTCATAAGGAGTGAGCAATCTAGATCCTGCGCATGTGCAGTTCATAACAGGGTTTGTGTTCCTATGGGAATCTAATGCCACAGCTAATCTGACAGGAGGTAGAGCTCAAGCAATAATGCGAGCGATTGGGAGTGGGTGTCATTTACCTGCCACTCACCTCCTACTATGTGACCCGGTTCTTAATAGGCCATGGACTGGTACCAGTCTGTGGCCCAGGGGTTGGGGACCCCTGCAATTAAGATGCACCCATTTTAATATACAGTTTGATACGTTTTGTCAGGTGTTTGTGTTTTAATGTTTAACTCTTGTTACCATCACCACAGTCAAGACATAAGACATCTCCATCAGGATCCCTTGTACTTTTTGCCAGTTAACTTTTAGGCTTAATTTTCTCTTCTTTTTTTTTTTTTTTTTTAAACCCCACAAAACTTTTCTTTAAGTTTAGATTATTGATTTTAGACCTCTTTTCCTTTCTCATCTAAGTATTTAAGGATAGAAACTTCCCTTTAAGCAGTGCTTTGGCTGTATTCCACTACTTTTTTTAATGTGTTGTATTTTCATTTTCATTCAGTTCAAAATAGTTATCTCTTGTGATTTCCTCTTTGACTCACAGGCTGTGTGTGTTTTATTTCCAAATATTTGGAGGTTTTTCCAGATATTTTTGTGTCATTCATGATGAGCAGAGAACATACTCTATAGGACTTCATTTATAAGAGTGTTTTGAGACTTGGTTTATTGGCCAGCGTATGATCTATCTTGGTGAATGTTCCAAGTTGGGAATACTAGTAATTAGAGGTGGTAATAAATATAATATATTATAGATTCTCTTACATCAAGAACAAAGCCAATAAAAGGTAGATAGCCTAGAAAGTGAAATATAATGGGTGTAGAGAATTTATGAGAAATGACTACTTATGCAAACCTTGAAGGCAAAGTGTATCTTTTCTTGTTTTCATATCTGTGTGTGTTCTCATGTAATCATCTACATTGTGCTTTTTAAAAGCTTTCCTGAAGGCTTGCTTACTGTGGAGTGGGAGATGTGTATGTTTATAGTGGAGAAGGGGCATGTTGAAACAACTACCTCTGATAATGCTCAGTAATTTTTTTTTTAGACAGGATCTTGCCATGTGGCCCAGGGTGGTCTTGAATTCAAGTGGCATGCACCTCAGCCTGTTGAATAGCTCAGATAACAGGTGCATGCCACTGTGCCTGGTTACCTTCAGTAATTTTTTAAAAAGCATCACTGAATTCTCATTAGCTAGTTTGGAGAGAAAGACGATGGGGTCAGGAAGGATTCACTCTTTGGAGCTTTTGAACCTGCATCTATGTGCAGTACATAAAAATGTTCTTAATGATCTCAAAGTGTCCAAATAAATTTTATGATTACCTTCAGTTTAAGGAAAGAGAGCAACTTAAAAAAATTTTTTTACAATGATTTCTACTAAAAAATGGAAGTTAAAAGGTGGAGAAGGATTCTTACATTTCTGGTACAAAGGAATAGTCTTAGCTACCTAGAAAAATGAGGGATTCAGAACTTTTTTCATCTTTGTTATGTATTTAATTTAGAGAGCACATTACTTATTCCTTGATTTCCTTAATGAATGTCTCATTCTCTGTCCCTTTTAGTACTCTTTAGATCAGAAACTAAACTTTATGACTAAATCTTTCAACTAAGTAGGTTTTTATTCTTGAAGTCTTATTCAGAAGAATTTTCCTTTTATGTTTATTAGCAGAAAGCGTAAAAGATCAAAGTCAACATACTATGAACAAGCAATATGAAAAAGAGAGGCAAAGACTTGTTACTGGAATAGAAGAGCTACGTACTAAGCTGATACAAATAGAAGCTGAAAATTCTGATTTGAGGGTTAACATGGCTCACAGAACTAGTCAGTTTCAGCTGATTCAAGAGGAGCTGCTAGAGAAAGCTTCAAACTCCAGCAAACTGGAAAGTGAAGTAAGTTTGGAATTAGCTTGGTGTATATATATTAATTTTTGAACTAGAACAAAAGGTGTTATTTTAGGATTTTATAAAAATTATATGTTTATATCCGGAGTTAAAGTTTTTTAAAAATGGTACCACATAAGTTACAAATTATTTTAAAATTACATTTGGAAACCTTTGTATTTTAACTTATGTTATTAAAAGTAGGAAAAACTCTGTAGTGGGTAAAAGGTCTCAAATTTGGTGGAAATAATATTGCATTGCAGCCTATTATTTCTTCCATAGTATAAGTTAATGTGGTTAATATACATTTATAAGTAAAGACTTTGGATTATGCTGTTGGAAGAAAAGGAGTGATAATAAAAGATTTTAAATTTTAGCAAACCCCCAACCACCTAGGAAGCCTGTTTAATATGCATATTTCTGGGTCCTGTTCCTGCAATTTCTGATTCAGTATATATGGGCACAAGAGTCTGCTTTTTTCTTTTCTTTTTCTTTTTCTTTTTTTTTTTTTCTTAGAGACAGGGTCTTGCTCTGTTGCCCAATCTGGAGTGCAGTGGTGAGATCATAGCTCACTGTAACTTTGAACTTCTGGGCTCAAGCCATTCTTCTGCCTCAATCTTCCAAGTAGTTGAGACTGCAGACATGTGTCACTATGTCCAGCTAATTTTTAAAATTTTTTGTTTGTGGAGACAGTCGCCGTGTTGCCCAGGCTGGTCTCGAACTCCTGGTCTCAGGTGATCTCCACCTCAGTATCCCAAAATGCTGGGATTACAGGAGTGAGCCACCACACCTAGCCAGAGTCTGTATTTGTATTTTTTGTGTATTTCTGCTGTTTAAAGAATCTGTATTTTTAAACAATTGCATGTAAACCTGAAACGACTACACAAGGAATTCCATTCTGAAAAGGGGATAATGAGTGTTTTGTGAATATCTTGTGTTCATTTTCACTAGGGACAGGATAAGGGTGCCTCATTGGGTAATTGTGGACCAGGACCACGTGGGTGTATCTTATACTCTACCTTCAAACCAGAGGCTGCAGTCATCTATAAGTACACTTTTTAAATACCTGCTTTCTCAGCTTAAAGTCTATAGCCAAGGCTGAGGAAAATAACTATAAAATAGGAACTTATGTTAATAATGGAGATGGAGATTTAGACAGTTTATAATTATAGCTACCAGTTTACTTAGGAAATTGCCAAATACTGGGATTAATAAGTTTTTTAAATTACAAAAATAGCACAGTCTTGTTAATGTAAAAGAGGAAAAAGAAGAAAGTGAACCATTGATAATTCTACCACCAGAAATAACTGCTGATACCATTTTATTGTACTTATTTCAGTCTTTAACAGCTGCTTAAAAATAGATTAGGGTATTGTCCTTTTTGGATATAGGGGTCTGAATTAAATGACTTATGTTTTACATGGATAGATAGAAGTGATCCTTTGTTTTCACTATTTGTTTTTCTTCTAAATTGTCACTTATTTTTTAAAATACTTATACTTATGTTGGTTAAAAAGTTATTCACTTTGCATCCTAAATGTTTATAACTGTAAGTTTGCCCAATTTATCTAGACACAATGTATTTCAACTTTGAAAAGAGTAGCAGGTGTTTGATCTTAGGATACAAAGTCATTACCTTTAAAAAATAATTTTACATTTATTTCAATGTATTTTCAGATGACAAAGAAATGTTCTCAACTTTTAACTCTTGAGAAACAGCTGGAAGAAAAGATAGTTGCTTATTCCTCTATTGCTGCAAAAAATGCAGAACTAGAACAGGAGCTTATGGTAAAACTTATCTTTGTGGCTTCAGATTTACTGTGATTTTTAGGCACTTAATTTGTGATAGCACATTTGTTTTAACATCATTATTATAAAATATATAGCAAAGTATAAGTTCTACTAAACTCTTCTGATCATTTCTTGTTTGCATTTTTAAGTTAATAGGCTTATATGGCAAGTTATCCAAGTTTTCTCATTTTATCCTAATGGTATTGAAGATAATGGTAGTTCTTTGATATGCTTCTTGATATTTAAAATAGTTTAAATCTTCTCATCTTGATAAAGTATTTTTAACCATTTTGTTAAAGTTTGAAGTATAAACTACTGTGGTTCTTTAAAGAATGGAGTATGACATATTTAATGCTTGACTAATGTACTTTTATGTAAAACTGCTTTTCAATTATACTTTTTTTTTTTTTGTGAGACAAAGTCTCACTCTGTGGTTCAGGCTGCAGTGCAGTGGCACAATCATGGCTTACTATAGCCTTGGCCTCCCAGGCTTCCCCCTGAGCTTCCCCAGAAGCTATAACCACAGGCACATGCCACACACCTACTTAGCTAATTTTTTGTATTTTTCATAGAGATGGGGTCTTGCCGTGTTGCCCAGGCTGGTCTTGAACTCCTGGGCTCAAGCAATCTGCCTGCCTTGGCCTCCCAAATCAATTATACTCTTTTAAAGTGTTTTGTGTTTCTAGGAAAAGAATGAAAAGATAAGGAGTCTAGAAACCAATATTAATACAGAGCATGAGAAAATTTGTTTAGCCTTTGAAAAAGCAAAGAAAATTCACTTGGAACAGCATAAAGAAATGGAAAAGCAGATTGAAAGAGTAAGTAATACATATTTAGAATATGAGTGCTGAAAAGAAACATTACTAGCCCCAGCATTTTTTATTTTGTAGATGAGGACCCAAAGAGACACAAAAGTTAGTGGCAAGAGCTGTAATTAGAACCCCAATCTTTCTGAATAATTTTTCACTACTTTAACAGAATATAGTATGCCTTCTGTTTCAGCTATAATCATTATTTTTGACATTATTAAAGTAATTCTGTAGACTCCATTTCCCTAAAAATATCAGTTGCTTAAAGATTGATTGAGAGGAAAAAGCAGAATAATAGAAGCACTCTTGACCTTGGGTTAAAAGTAGAAAAGAAAATGTGAGACCAAAAATGCAAGACGCAGTAAAAAAAATAGATACGGTAGTCCCTGCTTATCCATGGGAGAGACATTCCAAGACCTTCAGTGGATGCCTGAAACCACAAATAGTACTGAACCCTTACAGTTTTTCCTATACATACATATCTATTATAAAGCTTAATTTATAAATTAGGCACAGTGAGAGATTAGCAACAATTCTAATAAAATCGAACTATTATAACAAAATACTGTCATAAAAGTTATATGAAAACTTGTTCTCATAGAAGTGTGTTCTCTCTCTTATGCCCTAGTGCTTCCTTTGCACTTTTTTTTTTTTTTTTCTTTTGAGACAGAGTTTTGCTCTGTAGGCCAGGCTGGAGTGCAGTGGCGTGATCTTGGCTCACTGCAACCTCCGCCTCCTGGGTTCAAGTGATTCTCCTGCCTCAGCCTCCTGAGTAGCTGGGATTACAGGTGCACGCTACCAATCCTGGCTAATTTTTGTATGTTTAGTAGATACAGGGTTTCACCATGTTGGTCAGGCTGATGTCAAACTTCTGACCTCGTGATCTGCCTGGCTCAGCCTCTTAACATGCTGGGATTACAGGCGTGAGCCACTGTGCTCAGCCTCCTTTGCACTTTTATGAATGTAGGTTCTATGAGGCATCTTCTTTGAGAATAGCCTAGTTTCGCTGCAATTGAAGACTTGCTTTGGATGGTATCCTTTCTCCTTAATCAGCTTCTTCATCTCTGCTGGAAATGTGACAGCAACTGCTCCATCAGCAGACACAGCTTCTCCAGTAATTTTAACATTTTTCAGTCTAAACCTATTCTTGAATCTGTGTAATTATTCCTTATTTGCAATAAATGACTTGGTGTCACTTGTTTCAGGGGATTCTTGCTGAAGTCTTAATATATACTCAGTACTTTCTGGTGCAACACATTGCGGTCAGTTGGAACATGTTTTCTGTTAATGCCTTCCACTTACAAATTTAATGCCTTTTCTATTTTAACTAAGCACTTACACATTGTGGTTGTAACTTTTGTAGTTTGAGGTCCAACTGCCCTACTCACATGAATTTATTTTTCTTTCTTCACGATTTCATGGATAGATTTGTTCTTTATTGTAGATCTTAGCAACCTCAGCATGCATTTTTTTTTGGTCTCCTTATTAAGTTAAGAACCTTCACCTTTTCACTTAAAGGAAGCACGCTATGTCTTCTCTTTGACATATCCAAATTGGATCTGCATCCAGATAGCATCACTACTCTTTTGCTTTGGGGCCATTATTAAGTAAAATAAGAGTTCCTTGAACACAGGCATTATGATACCATGGCAGTTGATCTGATAACCAAGATGGCTACTAAGTGACTAACGAGCAGGTAGCTTATACAGCATGGAAAATGGATCATTCTTGTCCAGAGCTGGACACAGTGGGACATCATGAGATTTCATCACACTACTCACAACTGCAATTCAAAATGTATCAATTGTTTGTTTGTGGAATTTTCCATTTACTATTTTCAGATCAGGGTTGACTGCAGGTAACTGAACTGTGGAAAGTGAAACCACGAATACCACAGGGCTGCTGTAATTTAGATGAGCTTAACAGAAGAATGGAGCAGACAAGAGGAAAAAGACAGTGAACCTGAATGTAGATTAATAGATATTATTCAGTCTGAGCATCAGAGAAAAAAAATTTTTTTTCCAAGAAAAGAAAGATTTATAAAAAAAATTGAACAAAGCCTCAGGGATATATGGGGAAGGACCTATCAGAAGGTCTGATATTCTTGTCTTCAGAGTCAAAGGAGAGAATGAGATTAGTGCAGGAAAATATTTGAAGGAATAGTGTCTGAAAACTTCACAAATTTGATGAAGGAAATAAATTTACAAATTTAAGAAAATCAAAGAGGATAGTGTCAAAGAAAACTACTTCTAGACACATCAAAATCCTTGCCAAAAACTAAAACAAAAAACTTTGAAAGCACCCAGAGATAAATGACACTGCATGTAAGGGAACAAATGTTAAAATTACTGCAGATTTCTCATCAAAAACTATGGACGTAAGAAGACAGAACAACATTTTTTTAAATGCTGAAAGAGAAAAAACTGTCAATTTATTTTATATCCAGCAAAAATATTCTCTGGAAATGAAGGTAACATAAAGACATTCTTAGATAAGGACAGCATAGAGAATGTGTCACCAGCAGACTTGTTCTAAAATAAATGCTAAAGAAAGTTCCTCACAGAAAAAAAATACCTGAGAGAAACTTGGGACCTCAGGAATAAAGGAAGAACAACGAAAACAGTAAATATTTGGTAAATATAGGATTTTTATAATATCTATGGCTGTTGAAAGAAGAAATTATAACATTTACTGATCAGGTATGTTGATATAATACATGTGACAACTACAGTGTAAAGGGGGAGATATAAAGGGGCCTATATTCTTAGTTTCTACATTTTGCTTTTTTTTCTTCGGCCTTTAAGTTCAGGGGTGCACGTATAGGAGGTGCAGGTTTGTTATACAGGTAAACATGTCCCCTAGTGGTTTGCTGCACAGATCATCCCGTCACTTAGGTATTGAGCCCAGCATCCATTAGCTATTCTTCCTGATGCTCCCTGTCTCCCATCCCACTCCCCTATAGGCCTCAATATGTGTTGTTCCTACCCATGTGTTCGTGTGTTCTCATCATTCAGCTCCCACTTATAAGTGAGAACATGCAGTATTTGGTTTTCTGTTCCTGTGTTAGTTTGCTGAGGATAATGGCTTCCAACTCCATCCGTGTCCCTGTAAAGGAAATGATCTCATTCGTTTTTATGGCTGCATAGTATTCCATAGTATATATGTACCACATTTTCTTTATCCAGTCTATCACTGGTGGGCATTTAGGTTGATTCCATGTCTTTTCTATTGTGAATAGTGCTGCAATGAACATACATATGCATGTATCTTTATAACAGAATGATTTACATTCCTGTGGGTATATACCCAGTAATGGGATTGCTGGGTCAAATTGTATTTCTGCCTCTAGGTCTTTGAGGAAATGCCACACCGCCTTCCACAGTGGTAGAACTAATTTACACTCCCATCAGCAGTGTAAAAGTGTTCCTTTTCTCTGCAACCTCTCCAGCATCTGTTTGTTTTTTGACTTTTGAATCATTGCCATTCTGACTGGCATGAGATGGTGTCTCATTGTGGTTTCAATTTGCATTTCTTGAACGATCAGCAATGTTGAGCTTTTTTTTTCGTATGTTTGTTGTCCACATGTATGTCTTCTTTTGAGAAGTGTCTATTCATGGCAAGTGATTTCATTTCTTCCTTAAAAAGAGAGAAGCTGAAGACAATTTGGCAAAATACAAAAATCTATGTAATTTCAATTATAGTTTCACATGTATTTAATATTTAAAATGTTTCTAAATTTTACAACATTTAATGTGAAAATTGTGTTTTTGTGTTTAGCTTGAAGCTCAACTAGAGAAAAAGGATCAACAATTTAAAGAACAAGAAAAGACTATGTCCATGTTGCAACAAGATATAATATGCAAACAGCATCATCTTGAATCACTAGATAGACTCTTGACGGAAAGCAAAGGGGTAAAATCATCCTTATAAAAGTACTATTTAGAAGTTGACTAATATTTTATGTCTATAACTTGCCTTTAAATCTAATCAAATCAGTTAACAGGCTGTTACTAATGCTAAAATGTTTATTTGCATACTTTTCTTACTGTTTTTAGGAAATGGAAAAGGAAAATATGAAGAAAGATGAAGCTTTAAAAGCATTACAGAACCAAGTATCTGAAGAAACAATCAAGGCTAGTATGCTAATACTTTATTTTTCTTTCTTTCCTTTTTTTTCTTTTTTTAGCAGAATCTCTGTCATTTGCCTAGGCCGGAGTGTAGTGGCATGATGATAACTCAGTGCAGCCTTGAACTCCTGAACTCAAGTCATCCTCCCACACCCGCCTCCTGAGTAGTTAGGACGAGTGTGCTCCAACGTGCCTGGCTGATTATTTTTTTCTTTTTGGAGACATTCTTGTGGCTTTTTTACGTTTCTCTATAGATTGTAAACATTGTATAGATAAAAGGCAATTCAGAGCTGAAGATTTGACCTGACTCAATGAACTTAGTTTCTTTAAATGTATTTTCTTTAGTGCAAATTCTGATCTTGATTACTTGATAGTTAATCATCTAGTTCGTAGGTTATCTAGCCTCTTTTTGTCTTAAAACAATTTTTATAACCCTAAAAATTGTTTTAAATTTTAGCTATAATTGCTACTTATTAGCATTACGCCCCCTCCAAAAAAAAAATTACCAGAGAAGTGTAGGAAGAGAAAACTAAAAGTGATTCAATTTTGCTTTATTTTACCTGTTGGCTTGTAAGATTAATTGAGATAAAGCCAGAATTTCTAGCTAAAATATGGCTTTCTGGCTAGTATATCTTCATGGTTAAAAACATGGGCTTTGCTGTTAAATTGGGTTTCAGTGTGGCTTCAAGTGCTTACCGACTCACTGTAACCTTAGCCAGGTTATTTAACTCTTTGAATTTTAATTTCTTCATCCGCAAAATAGGAATGACAATACCCTAGAAGAGCATTAGTGTGAGAATTAAATATAACAGGGTATATAAGGTGCTTAGCATATGCTGAGTTGCCCAAAGTTTTGTAACTACTTGCTATGTATTTAATATTTTCTCTTTTGCATTTTTGGTGTTAAACATAGGTCCGAATATGCTATGACCTTTATTCTGTCACATGTAGCTTGAATATAAAAGATTTGTTTTAAAGATACGATGTTATATTTTGCCTACTATTCTGTTTTGAATTCATTTTGTGACTGTGTATGCCCATATAGACATATGTTTATTCATAACTATTCCTGTAGTATCCACCAAAACTCTTAACATTTAATGCAGTCAGTTCATTTCCCTGTGTTAGAATAGCCCCAAATTTCATTAATATTAAAAAATGATTACTGTACAGAGATTGTAGGCATGAAATACTTTTATTAGATAAAACTCATGTAGCCACTTAACTCCTGCTTTTCATTAAACTACCTAATATAACTAGGCAGTCATCTGGTAAGGTATTTCCATATATTAATAGCCAGATGAGATGAAAAAGAAATCAGCAAAAGAATGAATAATGATGTTGGATTTTATTCGTTTAACATCTTTAGTAGGTTTGCTGTTTAGGGAAAAATCAAAATGAGGAAGAAATATAGAAGTCAAATTCCTATGATTTAAGCTATATCGACTGATTCTACACATAAGTTATCTATAGCAGCAAAATAGAAGCCTGAAGTCTACTTCTGTCCTCCTGATTACATCATTACTACCTTCCTTTCATGACTTTTGTTCATGTCTCTCAACATGCTTCAACTTGTTCTCTGCAAAAGAAACATGAATTTTTTTTTATCTATAGGAGAGTTATAAGGATCAGTTTAAAGTTGTATCACTTAAGCTAACAGGTTGATGATAAAATTCTGAACTAGTAACAAGAAATCAGTAAAGTAAACCAGTTGTTACCTGCTGTTAAATAGAAAATTGAAAAGGTGCTTATTAGATTTACAGATTTTATTTCTTTTGTTTTGTTTTCCTTTTATTTTCTACTTTGGATTCCCCAAAACTCCCACAAAGAAAGTCTTACAAGAAGAGCTTACCTTCTTTTTTTGAAAATGCATAGCCTAGAGCCCTATCTGGTTGTCTCCAGACTGTGCACCTGAGGAGCTTCTTTGGTTCAGCAGAGTGGTGTTTGTTTTTGTTTTGATTTCATTTATTTATACAAACATACACACACATTTGCAAGTGGTTTGTATACAATGCAAGATGTTTATCTGTATGAGATTCAGACTTTCAAACTCTGTTCAAATAAGAAATTCAATAGAGTAGTGGATGTTTTGGGTTTTTATTAATTGTTTATTAGCTATAATTGATTCCTAATTTATTTTTTAAAATTTCAGGCCCACAAAAAAATTGAAACAATAGTGTACTCCTCACCTAGATTCACTCTCTGTTAAACTCTAGGTACACACACTTTATCTCTCTCTACACATACACATGCATGCATGCTTGTGTGTGTCCCTACCAACCCACCTCCCTTTTGCCAGACAGCCTGAGAGAAGGTTATGGATATCATAATACTTTACCCCTTTAATATTTAACATGCATCTCCTGTGAACAGAGAATTTCTCCTGCGTGACCACACCACCACTATGCTACAGAGAAGGTCAACATTAATTCAGTAATATCATTCAACACTGTGCATACTAAGATTTCCCCAATTACTTAAAATTGTCCTTTATAGCCTTGCTACTCAAAGCATGGTCTGTGAACTAGCAGCATCAGCATCACCTGGAAGCTTGTTACATTTGAAGAGTATCTAGCCATGCCCCAGACCTGGGACTAAAGTGAATCAAGTATGATGACACAAAATTTAAGGAGACACTCTCAGGATTATATACCTTATCTAAGGTGATGACTGTCAGATCTCATTATTTTAAGGGTGTATATTTCATTGATAATTAGCAAACAAACTTTGGAGTCTTTGAGGGTCTTGGGGACTGTGTGAATGTCCTGTTCCTCAATAACCTTACAATCAATGGCTTTCATATCTAATGATGAATCTTGCCCGAATGAGTTGTTACACTATTAACTATTAGGTAGTGATATTCTGACAGAATCATAGATTTTATTTATTTTTTCTCTGTGTGAAGGATGATACAAGTCCCAATGCCCATTCTCTTTCATAAAAAAGAAAATGTATTTATAAGTTTCATAAAACAAATATTAGTTAAAAATTATTACTAAGGCAGCAGTTTATTAACAAAGATAGTCATTCAGAATTACAGATTTTTTAGCTGTTAATGGTTTCATGCACAGACTATAAGGGTGGTGTTCAAAAACTCTTATAAGATTCCCTTTTTAGAAATAAGAGTGGCAAAGATAATTTCATGATGTAGAATAGAATCTGCAAGAGGGATAGTTTTTTCTCATTTTTTCATCTGCTAAGAAATCTAAGTTTCTTTCACTTTTTCAAGACTGCTTGCTATAACATTATTAGCATTAAGAGGAAGAATACCATTGAGAAGCTCAAATTTACAATAAAGAAAACAAGGAGTAAGGCAAGAATCTTATTAATAGCTGGGATGTGGAGCATGTATGCAATACATGGGCCTTGAACTAAAAGTACCGAATTTGAGTTGCTCTTTGGTATTAAGGTAGTAAAGCAGTGGCAACTATATGAACACTTGGACCAAGTTAAATTGCTGCCTTTCTGAAAATATTTTCACTGTTTCAAAGCAAAGAAGGGTTCACTTCTTTTTTCCTAGCTGACAAATTATAATTTCTTAGTAACTTCAGCATTTCAAAATATTCTCATTAAGGCCAGGCAAGGTGGCTCACACCTGTAATCTCAGCACTTTGGGAGGCCAAGGTGGGTGGATCACCTGAGGTCAGGAGTTTAAGACCAGTCTGGCCAACATGGCAAAACCTACTCTCTACTAAAAATACAAAAATCAGCAAGGCGTGGTGGTGCATACCTGTAATCCCAGCTACTCAGGAGGCTGAGGCAGGAGAATTGCTTGAACCTGGGAGATGGAGGTTGCATTGAGCCAAGATTGCACCACTGCACTCCAGCCTTGGCTACAGAGCAAGACTTTGTCTCAAAAAAAAAAAAAAAAAAAAACTCACTTGAACATTGTTAACAGTACGCTAGTTTGTACTCATTTTCCTATTTTTCTTATTCAAGGAGGCTTAAGAAGTAGATTTAAATACCACTTACCTTTTAAAGAGAAGGTTTTAAGGTGTTTGGCCTACAGATTCTTGACAGTTGGCCCAAGTTTATCTTGTCAATTGTGGCTCCCAAATAACGATTTCCTACAAATTAATCTTCTTATTACCCTAGGCTCTTGCCAACTTCTCACTACTCCCTTTCACAGGGCCTTGCTTCTGAGCATACTCCCTTTTCCTGGAATGCCCTTCTAAACTTGTCCAACTCTTTATTTATTCTTCAGGATTCCATCCCTCGGTTTTCTATTTGGTTTCCTCATTTGCAATGAAGAATTAGTTTACTCAATAAATATCTTCTATAATGGCATTTTATGTCCTAAGTAGGACTGTATATTCACTATTTGAAGCACTGAGGTAACGTTAGGAGATAAATCTGTAAAATATTGAGTATATCAGTGTTTTTCTTTTTTTCCTGCTTAGGTTAGGCAACTAGATTCAGCATTAGAAATTTGTAAGGAAGAACTTGTCTTGCATTTGAATCAATTGGAAGGAAATAAGGAAAAGTTTGAAAAACAGTTAAAGAAGAAATCTGAAGAGGTAAATTAACATTTACTTTATATATAGCGTATATTTCAAGTGATTTTTTTTTTTTAAGACGCATGAGATGTAGGACAAAAAAATATATATATATCTTTCTTTCTTTCTTTCTTTCGAGACGGCGTCTCCCTGTGTCGTCCAGGCTGGAGTACAGTGTCACAATCTTGGCTCACTTGAACCTCTGCCTCCTGGGTTCAAGCAATTCTTGTGCCTTAGCCTCCTGTGTAGCTAGGATTACAGGTATGCACTACCACGCCTGGCTAATTTTTGTATTTTTAGTAGAGACAGAATTTCACTGTGTTGGCCAGGCTGGCCTTGAACTCCTGGCCTCAAGTAATCCACCCACCTCAGCCTCCCAAAGTGTTGGGATTACAGGTGTAAGCCACCATGCCTGGCCAAAAGAATATCTTTATGTATCTGATATAAAAAAGTATTTCCAATAAAATGTAAATTCCAATTTTCTTTAAGGAGCAAACATTATTTCAATGCAAAATAAAATATACCTTAAAATTCTAATTCTTTTATTTATTTTTAGAGAATCAGAAGAATAAATTATTAATATTACAGTCATTCTAATATAAAATTACATGACACCTTGAACATTGTTTTAGATTTAGAGGTTTAAAATTCTTCAAGAATTTTTCATTTTGTTTTTGTTCTTGTCTGTAGGACTGAGAATTAACTTTAGAATTTCAACTTTTTTGAGATAAGTTTCTCAGATACTGGATTGGAAACCTTTTTTTTTTTTGAGATGGAGTCTCTCTCTGTCACCCAGGCTCGGCTCACTGCAACCTCCGCCTCCTGGGTTCAAGCAATTCTCTTGCTCAGTCTCCTGAGTAGCTGGGACAATAGGCGCACGCTGCCATGCCCAGCTATTTTTTTGTATTTTTTTTTCTTTTTTGTAGAGATAGGGTTTCACCGTGTTGCCCAGGGTGGTCATGAACTCCTGAGCTCAGGCAATCCGCCCACCTCGGCCTCCCAAAGTGCTGGGATTACAGGCGTGAGCCACCACACCCAGCCTTGGAAACTTTTCTTGAACATCTTACTCATCTCTGTATGTTCAATTTGTAGCACTTTACTTTGGTTAGGCACTCACTAAACATTTGCTCAAATGGATAATCGTAATAAAGAATTTATTTGTTAGAATTTATAATATATGTACTTTAAGCTTAAAATTTATTTTTAGAGGCCAGGTGCGGTGGCTCACACCTGTAATCCCAGCAGTTTGGGAGGCTGAGGTGGGCGGATCACAAGGTCAGGAGATCGAGACCATCCTGGCTAACACGGTGAAACCCCGTCTCTACTAAAAATACAAACAATTAGCCGGGCATGGTGGCACGCGCCTGTAGTCGCAGCTACTTGGGGAGGCTGAGGCAGGAGAATGGTGTGAACTCAGGAGGTGGAGCTTGCAATGAGCCGAGATCGCACCACTGCACTCCAGCCCGGCAACAGAGCGAGACTCCGTCTCCAAAAAAATAATAATAATAATAAAAATTTAAAAATTTATTTTTAGAAATGGTTCCCAGTGAATTTTAATCAAGGTTGACTTTTGGCCACTCGTTGTTGCTTACGCCTATAAGCTCAGCACTTTGGGAGGCCGGGAGTTCAAGACAAGCCTGGGCAACATGGGGCAAAACCCCATCTCTACAAAAAAATGGAAAACATTAGCCAAGTGTGGTGGTGCATACCCGTGGTCCCAGCTACTCAGGAAGCTGAGGTGGGAGGATCACTTGAGTCTAGGAGGTCAAGGCTGCAGTGAGCCGTGATCACGCCACTGTACTCCAGCCTGGCAGCACAGCGAGACCCGATCTCAAAAAATATATATGTGTATATATATGTATATAAATATATATATATTTGTATTTACATATTAATCAAGATTGACTTGAATATATCAGAAAGGTCCAATGAGAAAAACAGAAGCCTTTATATCTTTTAAATAGAGCAAATTTATACAGAGAATTAGACACACAGGTGATGAAAGGGTAGAGAAGCCAAACAGTATACCACAGCGACTCAGAGATTATAAGCAGGGACCCACTACCATTGTTAAGGTTAGAGGAACATCAGGAAAAGATAGTATGATCATAGTCTAGAAGCAGGGCTGCCTGTCTGGAGCTGGGGCCGAAGAAAAAGCGTCTGTCCAATAGGAACTGGGGCAATAGAGGAGGAGCACTGCAGCTACTGACCATTCCCATTGGCTAAACCTATTTGTAATCTAGAGGGCAAAGGAGGCCAAGAAATGTGGTTTCCTACAATATACAGAGCAGAGCAGGGGAAAGGCATGGGTAGATCTAAGAGTAAATAATGTAGTTGACCAGCACTCCAGAGTTAGGTGCATCAAGTAATTATATAGCCTTAGAAGTTTAAAAAAAAAAACAACAACTTTCAGATTTTATATGGTCATGCCTTCTTCCCTCTACCTTCCTTTATGAAGGTTTTTATAGCATCTTTGACAGGCATATATTTTTCTACTCCAATATGTAGAAACTAAATCATCTAAACTGTATGTATTTGGATTTTTAAAAATAAGAATGTCCTTTTTTTACTATGATCTTCTTTAAAGTAGTGTACAAAATACATTATTTTGGCATTTATTCTACTGCTCATGCCCACACTCTGCTTCAGAATAAACAGACTTGGCAGAGATGGAATCTACCTGGAGGTAGGCAGCATTTGTAATAGGAGAATTCGTTGAGCTTTAGACTTTGCGTTCATAGAAACAACATCAGAGACTAGGGTAGATAACAGATATTTACACACAAAATAAATAGAACGATTTTTTTTTTCTTTTTTTGAGACAGGGTCTTGCTTTGTCGCCTAGGCTGGAGTGCAATGGTGCAATCTCAGTTCATTGCAGTCTCTGCCTCCCAGGTTCAAGCAGTTCTCCTGCCTCAGCCTTCTCAGCAGCTGGGATTACAGGCATGTGCCACCACACCTGGCTCATTTAGAATGATTTTTAGAACAGCTGGAAATACATACCTAGGCTCAAACTGAATTAGAAACCAGAAGTGGTAATCAGGTATATTTGACCAGACTAGGGAGTAAGTAAATTAGAAAGATTTGCAAACTCATTTATTACCGCTCAATCGTTAGCTCAACTGCACATGCATTGGCTTGCTAACTTAAAAGTTCATCTGTCACGTGCTCATGTGTATTGATAAAAAACATGGAGAAGAATCCAAGTACTAACTGTTGACTTATTTACCTTTACAGCAAATTATGTCTTACAGAGAAAATTCTTTCTAGTGTTGGTTAATATAATTAACACCTTGTAACAGCAGAGTTGTGAAGTTTTCATCATATATAGCTGCATTTTAGAAAACCTGATTTGAGTAATAGTGCATCTATTCTGTTAATAATAGGTGATATTATAAAGATGTTCTTATCTTTTAGATCAGGGAATATGCCCCAATCATATAACTCGCTGAATAATTAAGTGGCCCTAGGGCATATTGGTAGAAATTTAGCCACTTGTAAAAACTACATGTTGATTACCCATTGCAAAAAGCTAATGTATATTCCTCTGCGCTTTTGCCTCAGCCACGTATTCTTTTCTGGATGTTGAAATAAATATGATTATGATGAAAATAATACTTTGGGGTTCTGAATTTTTGGAAGATATTTAACTTCATATTAAAATGTTTTTAACAATGCTTTTAAAATAATCAAGTTACGTGTTCATGCAAAATTACATTGTCAACATAATAAAAGAAAGTAAAAAAATTTTATTTTGCGTAAAATTATGAATAAGCCTAAATGTTTTCTGCATGAAGATTTTATTCAATAAAATCAGTCATTTCATTGATAAATATCTTCATTTAAATAGATGGACTTAGATTTTGAGAAGTTGGCATCATATGTTTCTGCGTTATATTTTATTTTTAAGCAACAATTATGAGACTGTTTCTGCTTTGGGTACATAGTAATACTAGATAAAGTTAAGTGTAAGGTAGATTTTATCATTTAAATTCTACTTTCTTATTTACTTCAATTATAAAATATTAAGTACTCTGGAAATAATACATTAGTAGAAAATACAACATAAAAACAATTCATTCTATATTTACTTTTAAACTGAAGCCAACTGACCGGGCTCGGTGGCTCACGCCTGTAATCCCAGCACTTTGGGAGGCCGAGGCGGGCAGATCACGAGGTCAGGAGATCTAACACAGTAAACCCCGTCTCTACTAAAAATAGAAAAAAAAAAAATTAGCCGGGCGTGGTGGCGGGCTCCTGTAGGCCCAGCTACTCGGGAGGCTGAGGCAGGAGAATGGCGTGAACCCGAGAGGCGGAGCTTGCAGTGAGCCGAGATCGCACCACTGCACTCCAGCCTGGGCAGCAAAGCGAGACTACATCTCAAAAAAACAAAAAAAAAAACAAAAAAACAAAACCTAAAGCCAACTGGAAGTTAAAGGTCGGTACAATGAAATGTCAGTATAAGTTTGATAGATATAGGTTATATTTTGTAAATATTTGTGATAACTAATATTAGATATTTCAATATATGTAATTGAAATGTCAGTGACTGGATTACTGAAATAAAATTTTGTTGTTATTATGTGGTAAGGCTTTGTGTTTTGGTTAGATCTTTTTTTTTTCTTGTTTTGTCTTATTTTAATATTTTGTCCATTTTTTTCTCTGAATAGGTAAGTATGAGACAGGATGTTCCAATAAAGAAAAAAACAGTATTTAAGCCTGTCTTGCAAGCGAGTCAGTTCTATATAAAATAAACCAATGCAGAAGTGTGATCTGCAGGTTTTGTCAGGAGCTAAGAGAGAAAACAAAACAGGTGATCTGACACATATTTACACTAAATTATTTTCATGCAGACAGAATTAAACAAAACAGATTTGCATGAAAAGGGATTATAATAACAGGATTAGAGATCAATTAGTTGCCTATGATATCCAGGGTTACTTCCAGTTTACAACATCATCATATAATGAAGAAATCTGAAATCTAGGAGCTTCTCATAATGAGCAAAGAATATTCGGCCCTGAAGGCCTTAATGTTTACCTGCTGGATAGTTAGAAAAAAGAAGCAAGTCATGATTCTCTTCCACAATTTACTATAAGGAGTTTAAAATTCCTTTTGGGATGATATTTACTGGAAAGATTCTTTGCTTTAAAGGAATGGTTTTATTTTCCTTCATTTAAAAAATTTATTACATAAGCAACAACAAGAAAACTTAAAGAACATTTACCTACAGCCCATTCTCTAATACTTCAGTTTTCATTTTTCTATTTGCATGTATATTTTTCAAAATTATATTAATGAAATGTGATTTTTTAACTTTATAAATTTTTATGTGTTAGCTGTCTTTTTAATTATTTGAAATGGTTGTGTCATTTTTAATTGCATTGACAATCATCACTTATTCTTCCATTCACTTTGGTAAAAGATGAAGAATATTGTAAAATATATTTTAAATTATGTTTCATTGTTGATAGTATTTTAAAAATAATTTCTGCTGGCATATTTTTAGAATTTTTATTACTAGGACAAAGGGCATTTATTTTTCTTCTTAATAGATGCTCTTGGATAAAAGTATCTTAAAGCAGTTTTGGAGACCATCTATTCAAGTCCTAAATATTTAGAGTAATTAGTCAAATTTCTTAGTTGTTATTGTCATTCCTTTATGTGTTTTTTTGTAACATAAATATTCAGCAGTGTTTTGCTGGGATATTATTGTATAAACAACAGCAATAATAGCAACAGTAACAATAAATAGCACCAAACATTATATAGAGCTTTTATGGCTATAGTTTATTATTAGTAAGGGTGAAAGAATCAGGTGAAGTGCAGATAAAACCATGGCTCTCCTTCTGGGAGAGGTCAAACAGAACATGCTCCTTTTTATAGCAGTGAAATGTGGCAACATCTGTTTCTGCCTAGGGAAGCCTATTTATGACTCAAAGTTCAGGGTTTTTATTGGAGGGTTGTCACACGGGAACGATGACCAGCCTACAAGTATCAAAAATTCCAGAATTCTAAAGGAAGGCATGTTTCAGTGCCCCAGCCAGGCAAAACAACCTCATCACTTAGGAACATTTTTAAAGCCACATTTCCAGACACTAACCAAGAGCAATCCTATAAGCAGGCCCTTCCAATACATCTCCCCATCAGAAAAATGAAGACTGCCCTTCCAGTGACAAACTATAGACATGAATACAATTGTCCCACATGACAGGTAGATGGTTATCTAATAAGGAGGACAACTTTGATGTTTTATTGACTTTTATTTGAAACACTGCATTGTATTGAGATATATATATATTTGCCAGGTATATTGTTTACAGAAAGAGCTAAAAATAAAAAATCACAGTCTTCAAGAGACTTCTGAGCAAAACATTATTCTACAGCATACTCTTCAGCAGCAGCAGCAAATGTTACAACAAGAGACAATTAGAAATGGAGAGCTGGAAGATACTCAAACTAAACTTGAAAAACAGGTATATATTATTAGCCCAAGATTGTTTCATTTGTATGAAATAGAAATTTTTAAAATCATGAATACATTTTTGGTTAGTTTTTTAAACTGCTGTTTGGCCAGATGCTGTGGTTCATGCCCATAATTCCAGCACTTTGGGAGGCTGAGGCAGGCGGATCACCTGAGGTCAGGAGTTCGAGACCAGCCTGGCCAACATGGCCCAACCTCGTCTCTACTAAAATTACAAAACTTAGCCAGGCGTTGTGGCACATGCCTGTAACCCCAGCTACTCAGGAGGCTGAGACACAAGAATCACTTGAACCCAAGAGGCAGAGGTTGCAGTGAGCTGCGATTATGCCACTGCACTCCAGCCTAGGAGACAATGAGACTCTGCCTCAAAAAAAAAAATTGCTGTTTAATCTCAAAGATTTTGCATTATAAGAAATACTCAATACTGATATTGTAAAATAAATTTCTATTCCTATGTAATCTGACCTCCATCTCTTATACTGTGATTATATGTTTGCCATTCCATACAATTTATAATTCATGTTTCTTTATTCAGTCTGTCTTCGTGTACCTAATCTGAATGCCTATAATTTTTCCTTTTTGGATCAGGACATAGTGTGTGATATTCCTTAAAGAAATGGCAAAGCAGTGCACTAAAAGAAAAATCCCAAGGGAAAATACCCCTGAAAGTTCTAAAATTAAAAATTATTACTTGAATGTAAGAATTCTGGAGAATTTTATACTAGAATCTAATCTTTTTCCTTTAATTCATTACTGAATTTATCTGAATTCTTTAGATATTTTACATTTTTGTTTTTTCTTTCAAAAGAAATCAAATTTACAGTAATATATAAATTAGAAAATGATTGTCCCCTGTAATCTTACTGTATTTTCCTTTTTTTTGGTCATTTTTTTGGTCTTTTATCTACTTGTTCTGAAGTCATCCTCAGCCTGTCCAGTGGAACTAAAGAATCTTCCTCTCACTACATTTAAACACATCAGGCAGGTATTCTGTTTTTTTTTTTTTGAGACAGTTTTACTCTTGTCACCCAGGCTGGAGTGCAATGGCGCGATCTCAGCTTACTGCAACCTCCGCCTCCCGGGTTCAGGGGATTCTCCCGCCTCAGTGACCTGAGTAGCTGGGATTACAGGCATGCGCCACCACACCCGGCTAATTTTGTATTTTTAGTAAAGACAGGGTTTCTCCATGTTGGTCAGACTCGTCTCAAACTCCCAGCTCAGGTGATCTACCCGCTTGGGCCTCCCAAAGTGCTGGGATTACAGGTGTGAGCCACTGCTCCCGGCCTCTGTATTTTTTTTTAAGACACATCTTCCTGTGACTCTCCATCCCTTTTGTTAAAATTTAGACCTACTGCTTGCTATGCCTACTATACAGCTTCATCCTGAAGCATTTCTTCTTCTCATCTATGTTTGATTCCCACTACCTACATCCTTTGTCATTGACTCTGGTTCTTGCAGGATTGATTATGATTCTTGTTCCTAAGTCACTTCCATAATGGTTGTATGGTTTTCTTCTGTTTTTTGTTTTTGTTTTTTTGTTACTAGTTCATTTGTTTCTTTTCTTTTCTTTTTTTCTTTTTTTGAGACGGAGTCTCGCTCTGTCGCCAGGCTGGAGTGCAGTGGCATGATCTTGGCTCACTGCAGCCTCTGCCTCCCAGGTTCAAGCAATTCTCCTGCCTCAGCCTCCCGAATATCTGGGACTGTAGGCTCGCACCACCACGCCCAGCTAATTTTTGTTTTTTAAGTAGAGGCGGGGTTTCACCATGTTGGCCAGGATGGTCTCGATGTCTTGATCTCGTGATTCACCTGCCTCAGCCTCCCAAAGTGCTGGGATTACAGGCGTGAGCCACTGTGCCCAGCCTCATTTGTATTTTTTATTCGGTGATTTTATTTCTTTGTGATCTTGTTTTAAAAGATTTTGTGTTCTCATTAGCTTCATTGAGGTCTACAGAAGTTTATGTCTAAAAATTTCTTCAGTATTTGGAGTAAATTTTTGACTAGGTGTTCCTTTTCTGCCTTTCGTCCATATTACACTATGCATAGGTTCCATTTTGCATCTTTAGATTTCTTTATTTAATTAAGAATTGAGTGGGTGGATTTTCTTTGGTTCCTTTCCCTTTTTACCTGGGTACTGTTTTAATTTTCTTCTTGGAACTTGAGGTGGAGGGGTGGATATTAATGGGGTTTTCTTGTTTTGTTTTGTTTGAGACAGGGTCTTACTTTGTCATCCAGGCTGGAGTGCAGTGACATGATCACGGCACAGTGCAGCCTCAATTTCCCTGGACTCAGGTGATTTTCCCACTTCTGCCTTCCGAGTCCTACCACCATGCCCAGCTAATTTTGTGTGTGTGTGTGTGTGTGTGTGTGTGTGTGGTTTGTCTTTTTTGTTTTGTTTTGTTTTGGTAGAGACAGAGTATCACCATGTTGCCCAGGCTGGTCTCGAACTCTTGGGCTTAAGTAATCCACCCTCCTTGGCCTCCCAAAGTGCTGGGATTGGAGGCACGAACCACCACACCTGGCAAGATATTAATGGTTTATAATCTATATTTAGTTCTTCAGTGAGAGATTTTAGAACAACAGGGGGGATATTCAGGTCAGAATTGAGAGGTTAACTTTGAGACCACAGTCATATAAATATTCATGAAGACATGGAGTGACTGAAATTACCTAGGGAGAGAATATAGAATGAGAAGCAAGAAGATTGACTTGGACAGATCCCTGAGGGATGTGATACGTGGAAGCCAAAGTAAGTATTTCATTAAGGAAGGAATGAATGTTGCTGTCATGGGCTGCTGGAATCAATGTCAAGTAAAATGAGGGTTGGGAAATGTCCATTGAAATTAGCAACTTGGAAGTCACTGGTGTTGTAATCCCTATTTCTGTGGAATGGCCTCTGGCTATGGGTTGAATAATGAATGAGAAGTGAGACAGTGATACAACACACAGAAAACTTTGAGAAGTTGGGCTATACATGGGAGGAAATAAAGGGTGGTAGATAGAGGGAGGTCAAGGTCTGAAGAAAAGCTTTTTACAGTGGGAAAATCTTTAACATGTTTAAATGCTACTATTAAAAAAACCGTAGAGAGATTGAAGATATTGGAAAGAGGAGATAGTAGTATGAAGTTCCTGAAAAAATTAATAGGAATTGAATCCAGAACACCTATGAAGCATTTTGACTTATATAGGAGGAAGAATATCTCCTTTATTATAGTAGAATAGAGGAAAAATGAATAGGAACAAATTCAAGTTAAAATGGGAGCAAATGCAAGTTAGCATTTGAGATCATGTGGCAATCTAGGAATCTATTGAATGAGCCAATTCGTGAAGAAAAGAAAGGAGGAGTTTGGTAAGAGAAGAAAGGACATTTCAAATGGGGACAATGAAAAAGAGAACATTTGCTATCACTTTGTTCAATTATTATAACACTTTAGTGTTATGATGTGGCCACTTCCCTAAATAGTAATATATGCATATATGAAGTATCTTTATTATTAGAAAGTAAGCCTTTTTATATTTTCCAAACATTAGTTCTTGGTCTATATGTTGATTTTTATGATACATCTTGAAACTGATAAGCTAGGTTACATATTTATAAAAGTATTTTTCTTCTGAATTTAAAATGTTTATTGAAAACTGCTTTACAAGGTGTCAAAACTGGAACAAGAACTTCAAAAACAAAGGGAAAGTTCAGCTGAAAAGTTGAGAAAAATGGAGGAGAAATGTGAATCAGCTGCACATGAAGCAGATTTGAAAAGGCAAAAAGTGATTGAGCTTACTAGCACTGCCAGGTAAAATATGAATATGTTTTATTTACCTTCCTACTTCAATATCAGTGGTATCTGAGTTTCAAAATCAGATAATGTTCAGTGGAGCATTTGCTTGAGGAATTAATGTCTCCATAGTCTGTGTTCCTGTTGCATTTTGTTTGTACTTCCTTCATATCTTTCATTATGCCTTTTTCTGTATTATAGTTTAATATTTTTAACCTTCCTACTATATTATAAGTTTCTTAAGACAAGGATCATATCTGGTTTATTTTAGGGTCTTACACAACAATTGGCACAATTCCTTATACCTCATAGGCACTCAGCAACTGTTAATTGTGAATAACATTAAAAGTTGTAGGCAAAAATGTAAATGTACTCACATAGAGGAAACTTTCAGGCGATCCAATTATATAGAGGAAAAGTGACAATATAAAAGTGGTTCTCAGCCTTGAGTGATTATTAAAATCACCTCAAGAGCTTGTAAAAAAAACACTGATGCCTGGGTCCCACCTTTAGATTAAATAAAACCTAAAGATTCTGATTTAATTTTGCTAGGCTGGTCCCAGGCATCAGCATTTAATTGGTCAAGAAAGGAACCCATGAGCTGAAAGCAGTACCCAGCCTCTTCAGATCTACTTTGTTGGGAGAATTGACATAATTTATAATATAATCAGCTCACCCTTCTACCAGCAGGAGTCAAGAGTGAACTTATGCACTGGAACTAAAACCACAAGTCCCCAGGTTCCCTCTCCTCTATTGACAGGGTTCCTTTGTGCTTTTCTAATTATCTGTTTTATATCTACTTCAATATTAGAGCTAATTGGTCAAGCTAAAAATTGTTTACTTGGGATTTTAGAAATGTAAAAATGTCATTAGCATTCATCTAATCTAGTAGTTCTTAAGTTAGTTGGTCTGTGGACATATTTGAGGATCTGGTAAAAAAACTTTAGCTTGTCTTCTATACATAGATATACACATGTACATTATACATGTATAATTTTGCATACTGTTTCAGGGGTTTTATAGTTTTCCTTAAGTTTAAAAAACTTAAGGACTTCCGATTAAAAAACTCTTGAACACATCCAAATTTGTTGAAGTTTTATTTAGAAGCGAAATGCTCCTACTCGCAAACTCAATTTAGAAATTTCAAAGATTAAACAACAGAAACAGTGTGGACACAAAGGAACATGAACTCTTCCTACCATTGAGGGTAACATTAACAATTGTTTAATTAGTGAATATCACTTTAGAATTACCAACAAAGGGACATAAAACTGGCTCTTAGTATGTTGATTTGTCTGTAGAGGAGCTGCCATATTAGAATAAGCTCAGGACTGACCAAATTAGTAAACCTGGCACTATCACTATTAACAGCTAGTCGTATTACATCTCAGACAACTCACCTAGTCTTCAGTTTCCTCCTCTGTAAAGCAGGGAAGTTGCACTGGTCTAGGAATCTCTAGTCCCTTTTAAAGCTAAAAAAAGGATAGAACTAATAATAAAACTGAGTAAAAACAACTGACTTGGCTCTCCAGTGAGTAGTATGGTTTTTATGATGAATAATTTGATTGTTTGACTTATTTATTTTCTTTGTTGCTAATAACAAAAATTATAGATGAATGAGGTCCTTGGATATTTTCAATACATGCAAAGCTGAAGTTAAATGTAGTTAGAGTGAAAAGAATGCTAGGCTTGTTAAATATTACCAGGTAGTAGTAAAGTTGTATTTAGTGGTATGTAATATGTAAAAGGATAGTTTTTAGTTGGAGAATTTTTAAAAACAGGTGATTTAAAATTCTGACTAGATATTTTGCTGATATTTGTCCTTATATAATTTGCAGGCTTTTTTAAGTTAGAGACAAGTTAGTTGGTTAAGTTTCTAAATTACCTGTTTTATTATTTGTTTTTAATTAGGCAAGTAAAGCTTGAGATGGATCAGTACAAAGAAGAGCTGTCTAAAATGGAAAAGGAAATAATGCACCTCAAACGAGATGGAGAAAATAAAGCAATGCACCTCTCTCAATTAGATATGATCTTAGATCAGACAAAGACAGAGCTAGAAAAGAAAACAAATGCTGGTAAGCAAGTGGTTAGATTAGTTTAGCTGCCTATGTATTTGTATTTAACGAAGTGAAATAGTGTGAGAATTTGAGATGGTGGGGCTGGAAGGGACGATAAGTGGTATTTTGCCTCTCACAGATGAATAAAATGGAATATTCTTAATTACATACAAAGTTTATAATAAGAAATGGTTTATACATAGTTATAACATTATTCTCTCCTCTTAATAGTAAAGGAGTTAGAAAAGTTACAGCACAGTACTGAAACTGAACTAACAGAAGCCTTGCAAAAACGGGAAGCACTTGAGACTGAACTACAAAATGCTCATGGAGAATTAAAAAGTACTTTAAGACAACTCCAGGAATTGAGAGATGTACTACAGAAGGCTCAGTTATCATTAGAGGAAAAATACACTACTATAAAGGATCTCACAGCTGAACTTAGGTGAGTTAAATAAGAAATGATATCGCAATTATAAGTCCTTGGATAATACAATAAAATGTGTTGTTGCATTCTAGATGTCTATATTTCTCAACTGCCTTTGGCTCACTTTGGCTCATCCCAGCCAGCCTATCCCATGCCTTATCTAACTAATTCAGCTGTTGTTGGCCACCAAAACTTTCATCCTCAGTCTTTAGACCATTTTATACTGGCCCTAGTGGTAAAAAATGATTGGGCAAGCATATAGCAGTGGCTAACAGCAGGAGGATATTAATAATGATAATATTGTTCTTTGTATTAAGTCCTTATTTTATGACAGGACTATACCAGGGACTTCACATATGATCTCACTCATTTCCTTACAACACACCTATTAGAAACATATATCACCTTAATAGTTGAGAAGCCTGAGGCCTTGAGAAAAATAAAATGCCCCAAGTCATACCAGTAGTAGAGTCTAGAGAAGGGAGTTAAACACAAGTCTGTCCAACTCTAAAGTCTGGGATCTTAGATTAGCAGTATAACGTAAACTGCTCTGCCGACACACATGTATAGTGAGTGGAGGTGGACAGCCAGATTAGAGCCAAAGTATGGGAAATAGATTCAGAAAAGGAAAAGAGAATTGCAAATTAGGATGTAAAATGTGAAATAAAAGAACAGGATAAAGAGCAACAAGATAACCCAGAAACTTTACATATTGTACCACAGAATTCAGTGTAGGGCCTCCTTCTCTTCTGTATCCACAAACTCATCCTTGGTAAATTTCATGTAGCTTTAAATACTATGCGTCAGACACTTCCAAACCTGTTTCTCCGGTATTGACCTTTTCCTGTAACTCCAGAGTCAATATCCAACTACTGAGTTGTTATCTCCATTTGGATATTTTTAAGAGACATCTCAGACTTGGCCAAAATAGGACTCATATATTTCCTCATAACCCTACCCTTCCCCTAACTCAGTATCATGCAGTTGCTCAAACTACAGATATGTAAGATTTTTCTTGTTCTCTCTTTCTATCCCTTTTTTCATCCAGTGTATTAGCAAGCCATGTCAACTTTATTTCCAAAACATACTCTTTTTTTTTTTTCAGTCTTGCCCAGGTTGGAGTGCAGTGGCATGATCTCAGCTCACTGCAGCCTCCGCCTCCCATTCAAGAAATTCTCCTGCCTCAGCTAGTAACTGGGATTACAGGCACCTGCCACCACGCTCGGCTAATTTTTGAATTGTTGATAGAGGCAGGGTTTCGCTGTGTTAGCCAGACTGTTCTTGAACTCCTGACCTCAGGTGATCCATCCACCTGGGCCTCCCAAAGTGCTGGGATTACAGGCATGAGCCACTGCACCCAGCCCCAAAACATATTATTAAATCCATTGATTTCCTGGCCTCTTTTCTGTTATCCTTAGCACAAAGCATCATCTCTTACCTGGTCTGTTGCTGTGGCTTCCTAACTGGGCTGTCTGCTTACAATCTTGACCCCCTCCCAACAATCCATTTTCCAAAAACAGATTTAAGTTTATTATTTAAAACATAAATTAGGCCAGGCACGGTGGCTCACGCCTGTAATCACAGCACTTTGGGAGGCCGAGGCAGGCAGATCACAAGGTCAGGAGTTCAAAACCAGCCTGGCCAATATGGTGAAGCCCTGTCTCTACTAAAGATACAAAAATTAGCCAGTAGTGGTGGCAGGCGCATGTAGTCTTAGCTACTTAGGAGGCTGAGGCAGGAGAATTGCTTGAACCTGGAGGTGGAGGTTGCAGTGAGCCAAGATTGAGCTAAGATCTACTCTAGCCTGGGTGACAGAGCGAGACTCCATCTCAAAAAAAAAAAAAGTAAATTAGATCATATTGCTTAACTACTCAAACCTTCTAATGGCTTTCTAAAACCTTCAGAATAAAATCCAAACTCCTTCACAGATGAAAATAAAAACTACATTGATATATATCACTTCATACCCACTAAGGATGGTCATTTTTAAAAAACAAAAAATAGAAAAGAACAAGTGTTAGCAAGTGCGGAAAAAAAATGGAACCCTCATTCATTGCTGGTGGGAATCTAAAATGGTGCAGCCACTATAGAAAACACTTTAGCCTTCCTCAGTAAGTTGAATGTAGAGTTACCACATGACCCAGTAATTCTATTCCTAGTTTTGTACTCAAAAGGGTTGAAAACAGGTATCTAAGCAAAAATTGTTTACAAAGTAAGCCAAAAAGTGAAAACAGTCCAAATGTTCATCATCAGATAAATGGATAAACAAAATATAGTGTCTTAGTCCGTTTTCATGCTGCTGATAAAGACATACCCAAGACTGGGCAATTTACAAAAGAAAAGTTTAGTGGACCTACAGTTCCACATGGCTGGGGAGGCCTCACAATCATGGTGGAAGGTGAAAGACACATCTCATATGGTGGCAGACAAGAGAAGAGAGCTTGTGCAGGGAAACTCCCCTTTATAAAACCATCAGATCTTGTGAGACTTATTCACTCTCATGAGAACAGCATGGGAAAGACCTGCCCCCACGATTCAGTTACCTCCCACTGGGTCTCTCCCACAACACGTGGGAATTCAAGATGAGATTTAGGTGGGGACACAGCCAAACTATATCATTCCGCCTCAGCTCCTCCCAAATCTCATGTCCTCACATTTCAAAACAAATCATGCCTTTCCAACAGTCTCTCAAAGTGTTAATTCATTTGAGCATTAACTCAAAAGTCCAAAGTCTCATCTGAGACAAGGCAAATCCCTTCTGCCTATGAGCCTGTAAAATCAAAAGCAAGTTACTTTCTTCCTAGATACAGTTGGGGCACAGACGTTGGGTAAATACACCCATTCCAAATGGTAGAAATTGGCCAAAACAAAGGGGCTACAGGCCTCATGCTAGTCTGAAATTCAGCAGGGCAGTCACATCTTAAAGCTCCAAAATGATCTCTTTTGACTCCATGTCTCACATCCAGGTCACACTGATGCAAGAGGTAGGTTCCCGTGGTCTTGGGCAGCTCCACCCCTGTAGCTTTGTAGGCTACAGCCTTTCTCCTGGCTGCTTTCATGGACTGGCATTGAGTGTGTGTGGCATTTACAGGCGCACAGTGCAAGTTGTCAGTGCATCTGTTATTCTGGGGTTCTGGAGGATGGTGGCCCTCCCTCTTCTCACAGCTCCACCAGGCAGCGCCCCAGTGGGGGACTCTGTATGGGGGTGCCCACCCTACATTTCCCTTCTGCACTTCCCTAGCAGAGGCTCTCCATGAGGGCCCTGCCTCAGCAGCAAACTTCTGCCTGGACAACCAGGCCTTTCCATACATCCTCTGAAATCTAGGTAGAGGTTCCCAAACCTCAGTTCATGACTTCTGTGTTCTCACAGGTTCAACATTGGGTGGAAGCTGCCAAGGCATGGGGCTCACACCCTCTGAAGCCACGGCCCGTGCTCCGTGTTGGCCTTTTTCAGCCACAGCTAGGGTGGCTGAGATGCAGGGCACCAAGTCCCTAGGCTGCACACAGCACGGTGACCCTGGATCCCACCCATGAAACCGTTGTTTCCTCCTAGGCCTCCAGGCCTGTGATGGGAGAGGCTGCTGCAAAGACCTCTGACATGCCCTGGAGACATTTTCCCCATTGTCTTGGGGATTAACATTCGTCTCCTTGTTAATTATGCAAATTTCTGTAGCCAGCTTGAATTTCTCCTCAGAAAATGGGATTTTCTTTTCTGTCACACTCAGGTGACCTCTTGGGTGCTTTGTTGCTTAGAAATTTCTTCCACCAGATACCCTAAATCATCTCTCTGAAGTTCAAAATTCCACAAATCTCTAGGGCAGGGGCAAAATGCCACCAGCCTCTTTGCTAAAACTTAAGAGTCACCTTTGCTCCAGTTCTCAACAAGTTCCTTATTTCTCTCCAAGACCACCTCATTCTGGACTTCATTGTCCATATTGCTATCAGCATTTTGGTCAAAACCATTGAACAAGTTTCTAGGAAGTTCCAAACTTTCCCACATTTTCCTGTATTATTCTGAGCCCACCAAATTGTTCCAACCCTTACCTGTTACCCAGTTCCAAAGTCACTTCCATATCTATAGTAGTGCCCCACTTTACTGGTACCAATTTACTGTATTAGTGAGTTTTCACGCTGCTGAAAAAGACATACCTGAGACTGGGCGATTAACAAAAGAAAGAGGTTTAATGGAATCACAGTTCTACGTGGCTGGGGAGGCCTCACAATCATGGTGGAAGGTGAAAGGCACATCTCACATGGTAGCAGACAAGAGAACTTGTGCAAGGAACCTCCCATTTTTAAAACCATCAGATCTTATGAGACTTATTCACTGTCACGAGAATAACACGAGAAAGACCTGCCCCCTGATTCAGTTACCTCCCACTGGGTCTCTCCTAAACATGTGGAATTCAAGATGAGATTTGGTGGGAACACAGCCAAACCATATCATACAGTGTATCCATACAAAGAATATTATTCAGTCATAAAAAGGAATAAAATACTGATACATGGTACAAAGTGCATGAACTTTGAAAACATTATGCTAAGTGAAAGGAGCCAGACACATGATGCATAATTCCATTTATATGAAATATTGAGAATTGGCAAATTCATAGGGAAAGAAAGATTAGTGATTGCCAGGGACTAGGGGAAGGGAGAATGGAAAATAAATGCTAATGAGTATGAAGTTCTTTGTGGGGGACCAATGGAAAAATACTGGACATAGATAGTGGTGATGGTTACATAACATTATGAATATACTTAATGCTTCTGAACTGTGCACTTTAAAATGGTTAAAATGGTAACTTTTATGTTACATGAATTTTACCACAGTTAAAAAAAATCCAAGTTCCTTATCTTGGAATACAAAGCCCTATGTGGTCTGGTTCCTGTCTGCTTCTCTGGCCTCATTTCATACAACTCTCCTTGCTCCTGACATTTTTCTCATACTTTACACTTACCAAGTTTGCTTCTACCATGGAATCTTGGCCATAGCTGTTTCTTTTTACTGGGATAACAGTTATATGGTCAGCTTCTTGTTGTCTTTCACATTACTTCAGAGAGAAGCCTTCTCTGACTACCCACTCTAAAGTAGCCACCCAGTCACTACTTCATCACGCAATTAATGCTCTAATATAGCACTTAATATTATATTTTTCTTACTTAGGTATTTATAGTCTGTCTTTTCTCCTGGACCTATTAGAGTGTAAACTCAGATCAGAAACATTTATCTTTTTTACTATTAAATCCACAGCACTTAGAACCCTGGCATATAGGAAACATCCAGTAAATATTTGCAAAATCAATAAGTAAATGAAAACATGAAAGATGTAAACAGTGAAATATTAAGTTCTAGCTAACAGATGAATCGTGGAAGCTCCACTATTTGCATAGATAGAAATTAGAGTTTTCTTTAATTTCATACTATTTTTAGAATATTAGTTTTAGCCTTGTGTTATACCTCTTAAGATTTTTAGAAGAATATTAAAAGCAACTCATTAAAGAAGTTCAAAATTTTCTTTTAAAAATTAGTACCCTTATCAGTACTGTTTCATGTTTCAGACTGGAAAATCATATGAAGATTTTCAAGATCAACATTTTCAGCCTTTGTCTTATCAGAACTTAGAGTTTCAAATTATTCTCTGATCACAGGCTTTACTTTGGTAAAAGCCTTAAAATTGTGTCAGTATTAAGCATTTTATAATATAAGGTCATACATAAATTAGGGTTTAAGAGGGCTTAGAATTTGTAATACGTTAATATTAGATTTAAGTGTTTTTTTATATGTAAGGCATCATTTTGAGTAACATCCTCATGAGAAATACTATGGTTAAATGCCTCATTCAATTGTAATAAAGTCACAGCTGTTATATGTAAAAGACTTTGAAACACTCGCTTGATCTGTGTATGAAAAAATGTGGATATGTATTTTTAAAAATTCTTATCGTTCAATCTTGGAGTCCTGGGAGTGCTTTAACAATTAGCTTAAATTATCTGTAATACCACAATGTGAGTTAACTTTTACCCTTTTAGAATACCCTTTATTAAATTAATTGTATTGATGTCAATCTTTTTCTTTATCTATTATTCCTTTAATTTGACCCTTTCAATCTGACTTGACTGCATATATTATTTTGCTTTTAATTTATAGAAGAGGTAACCTGGTTGACCTAACTTTTTAAAATTATAATATTCCTACTATCTGTTTTGATCTTTTTCCTTTGATACATTGTAGAGAATGCAAGATGGAGATTGAAGACAAAAAGCAGGAGCTCCTTGAAATGGATCAGGCACTTAAGGAGAGAAATTGGGAACTAAAGCAAAGAGCAGCTCAGGTTGATTTTTCTTGATTATATTTTAGTGAAGTTTTCTGTTATGACACAGTCCACAGGATTTGAGAGGTCATCAATTTTTGGTAAAATGGGCATTTTTATAGCGTATAGCATAGAGATATGTAATCTCTATCTTGATATTTTTCTAGCAAGTAGATTTTGAAAATGAAGATTAGCTTAGTATCTGAACCTTTTGATCTTTATATTACCCTATATCAGAAGCAGCTAAGTGTTGGAGGAACAAAAATATTTGGAAGGCATTATTTAGCACTTTTTATCCAGCATAAAATGAAGTCTGAATTATTTGTCATTTATGAACACAACTATATTTTATTGTTTCTATAATGTATATGGATTGAATGTCAGTGTGTATTGTTAAAAAAAATGTATATGAGGCTCATGAACCAGTAGTAGTAAACAATGATTATTTTTCCCATTTAAAAATAATTTGAGATGAGTTTATACTTGTTATACTTGCAATAAACAATTACAAAGCCTATTCTAAGCATATAAGTTTTTGTATCAGAACAAAATTGAACAATTTAAGGTTATTTTTTAGGTTACACATTTGGATATGACTATTCGCGAACACAGAGGAGAAATGGAACAAAAAATAATTAAATTAGAAGGTACCCTGGAGAAATCAGAATTGGAACTTAAAGAATGTAACAAACAGGTAAATTATTTTAAAATTACATATTTTAAATTATTTTTTTAAAAATTTAAACTGTAACTGAAAACACCCCTTCACATAGTGGGTGTTTTTGTTTGTTTGTTTGTTTGTTTGTTTGTTTTGAGGCGGAGTCTCGCTCTGTAGCCCAGGCTGGAGTGCAGTGCATCTGATCATACCTCACTGCAGCCTTGAGTTCCTGGGCTCAAACAATCCTCTTGCCTTGGTCTCCCCAAAGCTTTGGGATTACAGGCATGAGCTACCACACTCTGTGGATCTTTCACTTCTTGATTAAATTTCTTCCTAGATACTTTAATTTTTTGTAGCTGCTTTAAATAGGATTGCCTTCTTGATTTCTTTTTCAGATTGATTGCTTTTAGTGTACAGAAATGCTACTGATTTTTGTATGTTAATTTTGTGTCTTTCAACTTGACTGAATTTATCAGTTCTTTTTTTGTTTTTGTTTCTGTTTTGAGACAAGATCTCACTCTGTCATCTGGGCTGGAGGGCAGTGTCGTGATCATAGCTCACTGCCGCCTCAACATCCCAAGCTCAAGTGATCCCTCCACCTCAGTCTCCGAAGTAGCTGGGACTACAGGCGTGCACCACCATGCTTGGCTAATTTTTTAATTTTTTGTAGAAATGGGGTTTTGCCATGTTGCCTAGGTAGGTCTCAAACTCCTGGGCTCAAGCGATTTGCCCCCCTCGCTTCCCAAAGTGCTGGGATTACAGGCATGAGACACCATGCCAGCCCTGTTTATCAGTTCTAATAGTTTTTTGGGGGAGTTTTCAGGTTTTTCCAAATATAAGATTATATCCTCTGCAAACAAGGATAATTTAACTTCTCTCTTTCCAATTTGGATGCCCTTTCTTTCTCTTGTCTAGTTGCTCTAGTCAGGACTCCCAGTATTATACTGAATAATAGTGGTGAAAGTGGGCATACTTGTCTTGTTCTATATCTTAGTGGAAAGACTTTCAGTTTTTCCCTATTCCTATGATATTAACTATGGGTTTGTTGTAAATGATCTTTACTGTGTTATTTTCCTTCTTTTTTTTCTTTCTTTTTTTTTTTTTTTTTTTTTTGAGACGGAGTCTTGCTCTGTCACCCAGGCTGGAGTGCAGTGGCTTGATCTCAGCTCACTGCAACCTCCGCCTCCTGGGTTCAAGCAGTTCTCTGCCTCAGCCTCCCCAGTAGCTGGGATTACAGGTGCCCACCACCACGCTCGGCTAATTTTTGTATTTGTAGCAGAGATGGGGTTTCACCATCTTGGCCAGGCTGGTCTTGAACTCCTGACCTCATGATTTAACACGCCCTGGCCTCCCAAAGTGCTGGGATTACAGGCGTGAGCCACTGTGCCCAGCCTGTTATTTTCCTTCTATACCCAATTTGTTGAGAGCTTTTATCATGAAAATATGTTGAATTTTATCTGATGCTTTTCAATAATGTTTTTAATTTTAATATGAAATTATTATATGGTTTTTGTCCTTGATTCTGTTGATATAATATATCATGTTTAATGATTTGTGTATGTTGAACCGTCTTGGCATCCCTGGGATGAATTCCACTTGGTTATGCTGAACGATCTTTTAAAAATGTTTTTGAATTCAGTTTGATGGTATTTTGTTGTGGATTCTGCATCTGTGTTCATCAGCGATATTGGCCTGTTGTTTTCTGTTTCTGTTATGTCCTTGTCTGGTTTTGGTATCAGCGTAATGCTGGCCTTGTAGAATGAGTTTAGAAGTGGGCCAGGCACGGTGGTGCGTGCCTGTAATCCCAGCACTTTGGGAGGTCAAGGTGGGCAGATTGCCTGAGCTCAGTTCAAGACCAGCCTAGACAACCTGGTGAGACCCCATCTCTACAGAAAATACAAAAATTAGCCAAGTGTGATGGCATGTGCCTGTAGTCCCAGCTACTCAAGAGGCTGAAGTGGAAGGATTGCTTGAGCCTGGGAAGTAGAGTCTGCATTGAGCCATGAGTGCTCAACTGTACCCCAGCCTGGGCGACAGAGTGAAAACGTGTCTCCAAAAAAAAAAAAAAAGTGTTCCCTCTTCTTCAGTTTTTTGAAATAGTTTGAGTAGAATTGGTTAGTTTTTCTTTAAATGTTTGGTAGAATTCAGCAGTGAATCTATCAGGTCCTGGGCTTTTCTTTGATGGGTGACTTTTTATTACTGCTTTTATCTCATTGCTTATTATTGTTCTATTCAAGTTTTCTGTTTCTTCATGGTTCAGTCTCAGTAGCTTGTGTGGGCCCAGGAATTTATCCATTTCTTCTAGGTTTTCCAATTTGTTGGTGTGTAGTTGTTCATAATAGTCTGTAGTGATCCTTTGTATTTCTGTGGTATGAGTTGTAATGTTTCCTTTTTCATCTCATTTTATTTATTTGGATTCTCTCTCTTCTTAGTCATCTAAAGGTGTTCGTTAATTTTGTTTATCTTTTCAAGAAATCAACTCTTTGTTTCATTTATCCTCTGTATTGTTTTGTAGTCTCAATTTCATTTATTTTTGCTCTGATCTTTATTATTGCTTTCCTTCTAATAATATTGGGTTTGGCTGTTGCTATTCCAGTGTGCAAAAGGCAGTTCAAGACCAACTTGAACTTACCTTTTGTAGAGACAGGCTATGTTGCCCCTGTGTTGCTCAGGCTCACATTCTTATCAGCACATGGAATTATCCAGAATACATAAATGTATTATGTATTATCCAAAATATATAATATGTTAGGCCACAAAATAAGTCTCATCAAAATTTTAAAGGTAGAAATCCTATCGAATATATTCTCAATGCAATTCTAAAAGCATCATTTTCAGTAATATGTCCAATAATATTTTCAATAATGCTCTTAATTTTAATATGCACCTTTAGGTGCATTGTTTGTTTGACATTTTTGTATTTTTTTTTATGTAAGCAGTTATTGCTATAAACTTTCCTCTTTGTACTGCACTCACAGTAGCCCATAGGTTTGGTATATCCATTTTTATTTGTTTCAAGACACTAACATTTTTTTTAAAATTTCTTCACTCACCCTTTGTTCATTCAGGAGCATGTTGTTTACATTTTATGTATTTGTATAATTTCTGAAGTTCTTCTTCTTATTGATTTCTATTTTTATTCCATAGTGGTTAGATAATATACTTGATAGGATTTCTACCTTTTAAAATTTGATGAGACTTATTTTGTGGCCTAACCTATTTATGTATTCTGGGTAATATTCCATGTGCAGATAAGAATGTGAACCTGGGCAACATAGTGGGACCCCGTCTCTACAAAAAGTGAAAAAAATTAGCTAGGTATGATGATGTGCACTTGTAGTCCCAGCTACTTGGGACTACAGGAGGTCGAGGCTGCGGTGAGCTATGATTGTGCCACTGCACTCCAGCCTGGGCAACCCTGTCACAAAAAAAAAGAAAAGAAAAGAGAGAAAAGAAAGAATATGTATTCAGCAACAGTGGATGAAATATTCTGTAAATGTCAGTTACAAAATGCCTCTTTGGCCTAGTTTGTAGTTGAACTCTGATGTTTCTTTGTTGATTTTTTCAATCTGGACAATCTGTCCATTACTGAGAGTGGGGTATTGAAGTCCCTGTCTATTGTTTTATTGCAACCACCTATTTGTCCCTTTAGATCTATTAATGTTTGCTTTATATACTCAGGAGCTTTATATGACTGGGTGCATAGATATTTATATTTATTTATTTATTTTTTTTTTTTGAGACGGAGTCTCGCTGTGTGGCCCAGGCTGGAGTGCAGTGGCCCGATCTCGGCGCTCGGCTGATATTTATAATTTTTATATCCTCTTGCTAACGTGACACATTTATTATTTTATATTGGCCTTGTCTCTTTTTACTGTCTTTGATCTGTGGTCTGTTTTGTCTAAGTATAGCTATTTCTGCTCTTTTTTGATTTCCATAAGGAATATCTTTTCACATTCTTTTACTTTCAGTCTATGTGTGTCTTATGAAGTGAATTTCTTTTAGGAAGCATATAGTTGGATTTCTTTTTTAATCCGTTCACCTACTCTATGTGTTTTAAATGGAAAATTTAGTCCAGTTACATTCAATGTTATTATTGATAGGTAAGGATCTGTGCCTTTCTGTTACTTGTTTTTTAGTTGTTTTGCAACTCCTCCCTTTCTTTCCCATTTACTGTCTTTCATTGTGGTTAAATGATTTTTTTCTGGTAGTATGATTAATTGGTTGCTGTTTATTTTTAGTGTATCTCACAGGTTTTTAAAAAGCTTTGTGGTGAGACTTCTACAAAACATCCTATTGTTATAACAAGTTATCAAAAACTGGTATCAACTTAACTGTGATAGTAGCAAAAACAACAAAAAAATTAAAAACCTGTGTAATTTAATCTCCTTCTCCTTCACATTTTGAATTTTTGGTGTTCCAATTAAATTTTTATATTGTCTATCTCTGAATAAATTGTTGTAATTATTTTTAATAATTTTGCCTTTTAGTCTTCTTACTAAAGATATAAGTGGTTTACACACCATGATTTCAGTGTTGGTATAACAGTCACATTAGTGGCTGTTTTTCTTAAGTTTGAAGTATTCCCTTTAGCATTTCTTGTAGGACAGGTCTAGTAGTGATAAATTTCCTCAGCTTTTGTTTAGGAAAGTGTCTCTTCTTCATTTCTGAAGGATAACTCTGCTTGGCACAGTATTCATGATTGGCAGGGTTTTTTTGTTCAACACTGAGTATGTCATCTTACTGGTCTGTAAGATTTCTGCCGAGGAGTCTGCTACCAGGCGTATTGGATCTTCCTTATATATTATTTGCTTCTTTTCTCTCACTGCTTTCAGGATCCTGTCTTTGTCTTTGATCTTTGAGAGTTTCATTATAATATGTCTTAGGGTGTTATTATTTGGGTTGAATCTGATTAGCAATCTTTGACCTCTTTATACCTGCATATTTATACCTTTCCTCAGGTTTGGAAATTTTTCTGTTGTTTCCTTATAAAAACTTTCTACCCCTTTGTCTTTCTCAGTTCCCTCTTTAACTCC